CCCATAAAATATTTAATGAACTAAAAGGAAAGAAAGTAATCTATGACATAGTTTAATGAGAACAAGAAATTAATTATTTCTCTTAACAAAATTTGTTCGTCTGCAATTTTATATTATGAATAATAGAAGTGTGAAGCACCCTTGATAAATATATAAAGAAACGTCTTATACTTTTGACAACGTAATGCGATTATTTAGTATCATTGTTAGATTTCGTTATTTAGTACCATTGTAATGGAGTTGGTAAGTTTGACTAATAAAGTTGGTTGTTCTATCAACAATGGCGAGCTTTCTTTAAAACTTCAACTTACCAAATAACTAAAAAGCATTTTAAGCACATGCATCTTTAGGCACGGATATTTTATGCGCGATGTTTCTTTACATTTCTTACTGGTATTATGTTGGTAGCGTAGCCAAAAAACGTCTATATAATTACATAAGAATGCATATTCTTTGGCGTAGCAACGAAAATGTGTTTCACCATGCTTATGATATTCACAAGATTAAGTTATAGAGGAATTTTGTAAAGAAAATTTAATCTGCGTTTCCCATTAAGCTGTATAACAAATTATTTTTCATTAAATATTTATGAGATTTAAATAAAAGCTTCTTTTGTATTATTTAAAAATATACTTATTCAACTCTCATTTAAATTTTATTTTGTTTAAACCCAGTTATGAAATCGGTACCATCTGGTCAATCCCAGATTTCAGTACAGTTCCGGTACGAAGACCGTAAAAAATCGCGAAATTATTGTTGGTGCGAATGATGCCAAAAATAATTATGGTAACCCTAACGCAAGAAAGGAAACATAATAGTAAAATAACTGTTTAGATTATTATTTCAATTTAGATGAAAGGTTAATTTCATATAATACATTTTTATTATTATAATTTATGAGAAAAGGCTAAACGAAACTGAATGGAAGCATAATAGTAAATAACTGTCCCAAATTATTTTACTGTTATAATTTATAAACAAACAGCTTAACATAACTGAAAGGAAGTACAGTCAAAAGTCGTTAATTCGGACACCCATAATCCGGAATTATCTATAATCCGGACCTCAAAGCTAAAAACTTTCTGCGCATGCGCCGTGTCGACACATGCGCATAGGCGTTTACGCGTGAGCTTAAGACCTTTACGACTGCGCATATGTGTGTGCGCAAGCGCAGAATACGTTTTCGCGTGCGCGTTTTATGTATAACGGACAGTATAAGCTAAAATTATCTATTTCAGTTAATGTTGATGATTGCGTTGTTCCTTAATCTTCGAATTATTTCCGGCTTATTATTTTTTGCAGACTGTAAGAGCAATTTTATAAAAGTAAACTTGAACTTTCGATTATGTCAAATAGAATTTCCGATACTGGAGCTCCCAAAGGATCTACAAAACGAAAGTATGTTCCGATGTTTGTCGAACAAAAAGCAGAATTGCTGCAAAAAATGGATAAAGACATGAAGAAGGTGACAGAGAAGTTAGTGAAAACGAAAAAATTTCGATTGACAAGTTAGTCGGTATTCTCGGCACAGCAATTACGGGACTTGAACAGCGGAACTTTGTAACTGAACAAGAAATTATGTCTGTTTATAGAATTAAAGAGAAAGTATTATCTCATAAAACGAAGCAACTTAAACAACTTACATTGAAAGAAATGTTTAATAAAATAACAAATAAATATTAAGCTTTTTTTTCTAAATTTTGATACCCTTTAGAATCATAAATTGCTTCTTTATTTCATAAATTACCTAATTTCATATTTTTAATTTTAGAATTTCTGCATGCCCTCTTACGAGATTTAAACTCATGATCTATAATCCGGAAAAAATCGATAATCCGGAATCGCCGGAGTCCCGACGAGTCCGGATTAACGACTTTTGACTGTATAATAGTAATTAACTATCTAAGATTATTAATTTAATCTGATAAAATTTTTAATTTGTATAATACATTTTTTATTATTTTAATTTATAAAAAAAGGTTAAACATAAGGGAAAATTTAAGGGGAGGCATTTAATTTTCGATATCTACCAACATTGCAGAGAAAATTTCAGTTGTTTGGTGCAAATATGTGTACATAAATTCGGAAAATAAGAATCGAAATGCTATCGAGCAGTGCCCCGATAGCGTTTATTACTCCATTTAGCACTGCCCCACAGCCGTTTTGTTATTTATGTGTGACACCCACTTCGGGGTCCACAAAATTGTGGTTGACAGTAAAATGTTTAAAGTCGTCATCTCGCTCATCATCTGACCTATATGATTTCCAGTAGTCACTGTAAATAATTCTTCCCACTGCGATCTTTTCCTTTATGACGTTCAATAAGGTTTTCATCGAAGCAGTGATTAATAAGAAACATTTGAATCTCTGCACAATCCGCCGAAAAATCACCGTGGCGGAAGGACGTTTTCCTTTTCCTGAAAAGGCTTTCGTCTACTTAATAATTTTGCTACATCTGCTGATTTTCAACTTAGGCCAAGCAACGGCATACACCTCATGCATGTAACTGTTCCAGTCTACAGTTCTATTGTCTTTCATCTGCAGCTGGAGTTCACAAAATTCAAGTAAAGAAGAAGATTTTTGAGCCTTCGAACAATTTTGACTTCTTAATTTTTTTCAGTTTTGCTTTTGACTTTCCTGCACCACTATTTCGCTGTTGAGTTACCGCTAAAGCACAATTTCATCTGTCAAAAGTTTACAATAGTGTGCCCCCCTTTTTTAGGGGGCGGATTCTTTTTTGACGCAAAGATCGGCTTCAGGACAGTGTTGTTTCTGGACAATCCTGTGGTTGTTAACTATTGTTATTATACTAGGGACCCCAATTTCAGTAAACGCCCAAGGGCGATCCTAAATGTTAGTAATATGTGATTTTGTATATGTGTTATGCAAATTGTTGCTCAGATTCTTTATTGCATATTGTTCTTTTTTCCTCCTGATTGCATTTTGTTTTTACTAGTGGCACTAAGGCCACTAGTAAAAACATGTATTCTTCTGTGAAATAGTTGTTAAAAAAAATAGTTAATTATGTATGGATTAGTAATTAGGTACTTAAGGAAAAAATATGTATTTAACTATTATTATGAATTTAAACTCTTACTCATTTAATTATTTAGCACATTGAGTTATATTTCTCATAATTCGAAACTTTTATCATGTTATTCGATGAGGGGTAGGGCTATGGCGCTCAGGCACCCTGGTGGTTAAGCACTGCAGTTCAGTGTATAATAGGACAGTGTTGCCAGAAAATTTTCAACTAAAGTAATCTAAATGTAGCAAAATTATTAAGCAGACGAAAGCCTTTTCAGGAAAAGACTAAAAAATTCGCAAATTATGGCAGAGATCACGTGGCTTTTGTAACGTCATAGTTATTTCGATCCTTAGTCGTTTTAATTACGTATGTTAGCCTTAACGAAAATTTTAAAACTATATTGCTCATTTTCAATTGTTTAAATATCCATTCCTTTCATAATTAATTCTCATTTAATTTAGATTTATGTTTTTAAATGAATTTCTTAGACATTTCTCACGTTTAGATTGTTAGCTGTTTTATACTAAATTTTTTTGAGTTGACAGTTAATTTTTTTCATCCAGTATTTTTTTTAGCTTAGTAGTGAACATTTTAATTGAGGAATGCTTTTCAGCGAGTTTTCCGCTCTGATTGGTGGACTTATTTCAGATTTTGATTACTTAAGAAAGCCTTGTGTGTTCTTTCAATGCTAAATTTATTTGTGTAGAAAAATGCAGTTGCTTTGATATTTAAGTCATTTTTATTCCACAGGTCTTAGCAATATTATAATCAGGAGGATGAATTTTATTTCTCTATCTGTTTGGGTACTCAGTATATGGCGCGCAAGCTGCAAGTTCTTTTGTTCGCTTTGTTTTTACCACAGAACTGATGAGGGGGGGGGAACAAATATGGAGAGCACTAAAATCATGAATATTATTAAGGTACACAATTCTGTGTTTTACAAAGTATTTTACGATATATTAAAAACGTCTTTGAAGTCGCCAAAAGTAGCATAAGGAATTGATGGAGGTCGCAAAAATTTCGCAAAATCCCTAATACTAAAATTGTCGTACCACGAGTTTGTCAAAAGTCGCAAATTTGCGAAAAGTCGCACGATCTGGCAACACTGCTCCAGAAAGGCACATTTTCAAGATGGCCTCTTGAAAGAACATAAGAAGTCAACGAATTGCACAAACTCAGTGTCCATGTACACATCGATCTGTTTTCACTTAAAAAGCATCAGAGAATTGCACAAACTCGGCATTGCGCACTGCCTTGACTTTTGCCCATGTACACTTCCTTAAAAAAATCAGGAAGCTAAAATCAAGTTAATACTATCATGGTAACGAGAAAGTGGTTTCATCACCAAAATTGAATAAAATTTGTCGCCAATCGAAGGAGCACCCAATTCTACACTAAAACCTTTCATCTAGCGGCTTTAAGAATATTATTTTCTATTGTGAATAATGCCTTCTTTGAAAAAATTCTATTGCAGACTTTTCGTCAGTGGGCAATTCCTAAATTGTTAGATCGGAAAATAAGAATCGAATAAGATCGTTATCAAAAAAGAATTCAAAAATTAAAACATGTCGACTTCCAAATATCAGCCAAATACAGCTATCTAAATTTACGCGCGTTAAATCGGTGCTAGATTTGACACGTGGTTTAAATGGGCACGTTTGCTAGATTTGGCGCTTTTGCGCATATATATTCGATGCAATTTCGTACGGTCCTCAAAACGGAATTGTAACTGGATTTCTTATTTCTATAACTAGTAAAATACGGCTACTGGACTTCATTTAACTTCCCCAAAAGTAACATCCAGTTACTAGGTTTATGCTTTCATCTGAAAAGATATTTTTGGCTCATTTCTTTCACAAAACAAAAGTCATTATAAATATGTAGGAGGTAATATGAAGTATTTATTCTATTGTTACTTTATTGTAATATGTTTGTAAATATTTAACATTTTTTTTTTTTCCCCTTCCTACAGTGCGGCGATTACTATTGCTTGGAGTAAGTCCCGATTCTACAAATGAAGACGGTTTAACTGCACTTCATCAAGTAGGTGATAGATGAATTTTAATTTCTTTTTACTTTGTGAAATCTGGCTGAAGGTAAGACTGAAAAAATTATATGCCTGCCTAGTTTGATACGAAAATATGCTGTTTTCACAACAATGCCTTTGTTTCCAAAGAACTAGCGGCCAAGCGGTAAAGACGCTGAACACTGGTAGTTTGGTCCAAGGTTCAGATCCTGCGAACGGGCTGGCTGCATGGGCGTTTTCATGGTTTTCCCCCATTTGTAACGTATATAGTGCCAGTTTCCATTAGAAAGCCCTCCACAAAGGCATCCCTCCTTTAGGCAGATAGCCCTCGTGTAGTATAGACCTTGTATAGCCCCCTTTGGCATAATTAAATAATCCGATAATCCAAAGAACTTTTTTTAATATATAGAAAGAGGAAAAAATTAATAATACTCTTAAAATTTCTGTTATGAAAAAAATGCAGTTAATAATGCCATAAAATTCTAGTAATGTCTATGTTTTCCATTAGCAAAATGAAATATTAGTCTACTAAAATGGAAAATTCGTGCATTTATCTAGCTGCCATTTCTTTCAAAATTCAGCCTTCTAAATGAATGTTTTTTATGCTCGGATGCAGCTGAAAGATTAATTCAGAAATCAAAAACTAACCAATTCAGACATTATCTTCTTTCCTTATTTCACTGCACTAATTACATGACTTTTATAATTTGTAAAATTTTATATTTTGTTTTAATAATTAGCAAATGATCATTCACTTCAAATTGCCTCTCATCTTTGTCAGAGTGGTTAAACAGCACTTTCTAGATGTGCAGCATCAATACAAGTCAGTTTCTTTTAGTCCTCCACAAAGACATTAACTCTTGTGTACTTTGCCATATTCAAATAACTTATCCTTTCAGCTTAACTTAACCTTCAGGTTTATACAGCTTGAAGTTTCATTTCTTTAATATGAAATAAGTCTGTGATATTTACTCTTACCGTCATTACCTTTTCCAGTGCTGTATAGATGACAGTGAAGCCATGATGAAATTGCTACTGGAATTTGGTGCTAATGTGAATGCTAAGGATAGTGAACAGTGGACTCCTCTTCATGCAGCTGCAACCTGTGGTCATTTGCACTTGGTTCGATATCTCATATCAAAAGGAGCGGACTTGCTGGCTGTGAATGCTGATGGCAATATGCCCTACGATATATGTGAAGATGAGGCCACTTTGGACTATATTGAGTCCGAGATGGCTAAAAAAGGTATGCTTGATGAATTTTCTTTTCATTTTCAAAACTTAAACTACAAATGAACAATAATTATGAAATGAGTTGCAGTGATTATCATATGTTTCCATTAATAAATAAATCTCATGTGACCATTGCATGTCCTCCTGCCAGTCCCGTGTTAAGACATGGAACTGGTGGAATAGCAGCAAGCTTTAAGTAAACTATCCACTTACAGTTGATCAGAAAATTAATCTGTTTATCGTTCAGTGTTAATTATAAACACTACTCTTTTTTTATTATTCCATTCTCTTGCTTTGACCTTGAAAATATGGTAGTATATCCTCTGGTCATATAGTTCCATTTGGATTCACAAATCAAATGAACACAAAATTTTTAACAGCAGCTAATCTTTAGAATTCCTGAGTTAGTTGATAGATTGTTAAATGCTGGCATATATTTCTTTTTATATTTGGCTATATTATCTCTTAAAATAATATATTTTGATAGCATATGATGGCAACATCTATTTATCTGAAAAGATATTCAACTCAAAAGTGAAAGAAACAGAAAATAAATTAAGCCCAATATTTATACTGAGAGTTCGTCTTCATAATGAGTTTATTTTCTTTGTATTTAGCATGATTCCTAGAATAAATTTAATGCTTAGAAATGTAATACAGTCAAAAGTCGTTAATTCGGACACCCATAATCCGGAATGATCTATAATCCGGACCTCAAAGCTACAAACTTTCTGCGCATGCGTCGCTTTCACGCATGCGCGCAAGACCTTTACCGCTGCGAATTTGCGTGTGCACATGCGCAAAATACGTTTACGAATGCGCGTTTAATGTATAACGGACGGGATAAGCTAAGCTAAAATTATCTAATTATCTATTTCAGTTAATGTTGCAGATTGCGTTGTTCCTTAATCTTCGAATTCGATCCGGCTTATTATTTTTTTGCAGACTGTTAGAGCAATTTTATAAAAGTAAGCTTGAACTTTCAAAAATAGAATTTCCGATATATATTTACTAATATGTAAAGGATCTACAAAGCGAAAGTATCTTTCGAAGTCCATTAAACAAAAGTGGAATTGCTGCAAAAAATGGATAAAGGCATATCCTTTGTTTATGTAAACTTTAACGTTTGTTTATCAAACTTTAAACTTTGCTGTTTTCTAAACATGGTTTATCTTTAACGACCCGGGCAGCGTGCAATGAATTGGAAGTTGATCTGTCAGCACTATCCTTATCTTCAGGGCAGATGTTTTTTTATTTTATTTGGCTTATAATTGCTTACTAAATGTAGTATTTCATCTCGATGTGTCTTTGATATGATTTAAATCGTCTTTGATATGATTTAAATCAAATGCCTCGTCATTATAATTCGCTTCGGATAGCGAAGAAAGTGATAGAGATTATTGAAAACGAAAAAGTTTCGATTGACAAATTAGTCGGTATTCTTGACACAGCAATTATAGGACTTGAACAGCGGAACTTTGTAACTGAACACGAAATTATGTCTGTTTATAGAATTAAAGAGAATGTATTATCACATAAAAACGAAGCAACTTAAACAACTTACATTGAAAGAAATGTTTAATAAAGTAAACAAATAAATATTAAGCTTTTTTTTTGTAAATTTTGATACTCTTTAGATCATAATTGTTCTTAATTTCGTAAATTACGGTTTCATATTTTTAATTTTATAATTTCTGCATGCCATTTTACCAGATTTAAACTGATGATCTATAATCCGGAAAAATCGATAATCCGGAATCGCCGAAGTCCCGATGAGTCCGGATTAACGACTTTTGACTGTATGCTATACTCAATCACATACATACATATTTTAAATACCCAAGTTGAAAAGTTTTAAATTATCTCATAATATATTTTTATGACAGTCCATACAAAAGCTTCTGGTTTATAAATTTGAGCTAAAATCTAATATGTTGTTCTCACTGATATAAAAATCTTAAATTGAAAGTTTGTTAATATATTTTAATGTAGTTTTTCATTAAAAACTGTTATGAACTTCAAGTAAAGTACCACTTCCTGTTGTCCATGAAGAACTGTTATGGGCTTCCAGCAAAGTACTACTTCTGGTTGTCCAATTTTAGCTAAAATCTAATAAATTTTTTGCATGAATGTAGAAAGCTTAAATATGGAAAGTACAAATTTTTGAAAGCCTCATATAAGAGTTATTGTGGACGAAAAAATCTATGCATACAATACAGACAGACATCATTGTAAAATTAGTAAAAGTGCATTGTGGGGACATTAATTTGTGCTTATTCACTCAAAACTCTGTATCAAATTTTCGGACCAGAAAAAATTACCTCTTGTATCTATGTAAATAGGTTGGTGTGAGGTAAAAATAGTGAGTGTCCTTCCCCCCTCCAAACAAGCCTTTATGATCTTCAACTAAAGTAACACAACTGTTAATCTAATTTTACCCCAAATCCAAGCAACTCTTTAAATGAATGCAGAAAGCTTAAATACAGGAATGGAACTGTTCAGATATTTGATACGAGTTTATAGTGGATGAAAAAATCTTCATATACATGCAGACATCATTAAAATAATAAAAATGTATTGTGGGGACCCTAATTCATGCTTATTCACTCACAACTCACGATAAAATTTTTTGGTTCAAAACCGTTATCTTCCTTACATATGTGTATAGGTTGGCAAGAGGTTAAAAATAAAGCGATTTTTAAGAGTTTAATTTTTTTTAATAAAATATTTCAGATAAATTTTCCATTTTTTCTGTATACTGCAGTATGCAGAAAAAGTGTTTATTTTATGCCAGACTAATCCAAGAATGTATGTATATGTATTAGTCACTCTGTTGAAATTGTTGTCACTGCTTTTGACTGGAACAAAGGGCACTCTAATGATAAATATCGATATGCAAATAGATTTTGCATGTACTGTAGGATTGACAGACATGCTTGGATCTTATTGTTCTTTTCTGTAAATGGAAGAAAAAGGATAAAACTAAATAAGTTCCATAAAGAGATAGTTGTATACAACTAGGCCAAAGATGACAGCATGAGGAAAGTGTTGATTTTGTAGGTGTATCTATATGCACCACTCAAACATTTTCAAATTATTCTCTTTTATGCAATTACTGAAAATTTGTGTTAGAATGTGGGCAGAAGGATAGTGTAAAATGATGTAGGTACAATATTCAGTGTTGCATACATTATTAGTCATGAACTGCTGCAAACAATTCATGAAAACAATTTTCAAACAAGAATTGTGAGATTTGAATATCTGGAGTATAATAAATTCAGAAGAAACCCATCTTAATAACTTCTCCTACAATGAGCTTGAAGTCATGAAAACAACCACCTCTTGGAATAGATATTTGGTTGGATTGGTCCCATATTTGCTTATGCAGGATATAAAGTATGCATTATAAGATTATTTACAAGGATTGTATAAGTCAGACAGACTGTGTGATATTCTGGGTATGTTCTAAGAAAGCAGAAGGTGATCCCTTAGTTCAGGTGAGGGTATATTTGATTTAGATGATATGTGTTGGGCTTGTAGATGCCAACCTTTTGCCTTTTTTTCATACTTCCTGATGTAAACACCCAATAAATCCTTCCAATATGACAATACTAGTGCCAGGAAAAAGTGATACGAAACACTTGAATTCCGTACTCTAAGGTGCTCTTGATCAGCAGTGCAAGAGACGACACTGCCAGTGTGACAGCTGTGTATCCCGGATTAGCCTGGACCGATTGAGAACTCGAGTTAATTGCATCATGATGCCAATGCATATTAAGCTTTGATTTGAATGTCATTGAGAATTTACTACGATGTGATTGTGATGAGCATGTCAGGATGACAACAGCATACTTCTAGCAATTTGGAAAAATGGTAGGATGCTAATGTTGAATATATCTATATTTGTTAACTCCATGCAAGACTGAATTCAAGCTGTCATTCATGTCTGACAGAAGTTAATGTTATTTACTTTGTGCCACCTAGAAGTGACTTTTTCTACAACGAAAAGATTATTATGATGAGATGTGTCATTAGAATAAAGTACTTAAGAAAACACTGCATTTCTATTTTTGGTGTTTACAAATATTTTATATTTTCTAATTTTACAATTGCTAGAAACTTATTTTCTAAATTTATTAATTTGCTTAACCTATTAACTGCCATGATCCCCATTTGGAGATTTGTCTTAGTAGCAGAAAATTGGTATTTTTAATTAGGTTGGCAACAATGGTTACTTTTTTGCATTGTTGTTTAAACCTTTTTCAAGCTTTTGCATGAGTTCTTGAGTAGAAGTTGTTGAAATAGTGAGCTGGAGAGTATTATTTGTGAGAAGAAGTAAAATTTTTGTGAGTTTCAAGATTTCAACATTTTCAAAATGAGGTATGTCATATTATTATGTACACCATTTCCAACTCTTGTGTTCTATAATGATTTTAGAATATATTTACTAACTGTTTATTGTCAATATGAATTTTATTTTCCGGTGAGGGCTACTTGAATGTCTATTCTCATTTGGACCTCGTGGCAGATTCCATCTGTAATGCATTCATATTCCAATTTCCAGTCTCTGTCAATGTAGACACCCAAAAATAAATGTAAATTGAGAGAAAAAATTTGGCAGTTAATGAATTAAGAGTAATTAAAAACAGTGCGGCACATGGACTGTGAATAAATTTAATGTCTAAGAAGTTATTTTCCTCGTGATATTAAATTTTAAAAGCCCTGAGAATGGATTTGGTTATTGGTAAAGACAGTTGTTGTGTTCATGTCCTTGGGATTAAATCCTGGATAAGGACTTGTATAGGATGCCTGTAATAGTAATATTTGAGGAGTAAGTATATGTAAAAATCCACTGATTAAATTTAATGTCTTAAGAAGTTATTTTCCTTGTGGTATTAAATTTAAAAGCCCTGAGAATGGATTTGGTTATTGGTAAAGACAGTTGTCGTGTTCATGTCCTTGGGATTAAATCCTGGATAAGAACTTGTATAGGATGCCTGTGATAGTAATATATTTAAAGAGTAAGTATATGTAAAATCCATTGATCCAAAAGTTTTTTTGGGAAGGCTCTTTGATAACTTGTGGTAGATTTATGAATTAAGAAAGTCACCTCATCTAATTCAGGGCCTTTATCTTGAGACATAATGTAGGTTTCATAAGTTCAGGGCTCCTTATCTCAAGACATACCATATTTGAGGGCATATAAGACTATATATATTTTATATATATAGTCTTACATGCCCTCAAATATGGTATGTCTAAAAAATATAATATATATTTTTTTCCTAAATTTGGTCTCAAAAAATTACCTGCTTCTTATACGTGAAGGACACAGGTTAACTTTCAATACTGAATGCTATTTTTAGCCTGGATAAAGATCTAGACACACATAAACAAACTTTTTTCCCCTTGTATGTGGTCTTCTAAATAAGGGTGCGTCTTATATGCCGTCAAATATGGTAATTGTCAGTTTTTATTTTGAAAGTGACTTGAAGGCTCCTGGGCTTCTTGGAATTCCAACATGTATGACCTTTGTTGATGCTACTGTTTGCAATGCCTCAATCCAAACTGGAATATTGTTTGATGAGAAAGCATTCATTCATTCTGGTGCCTAAGGCCTTTGACTTATAGAATACACCCATTATTAATTCTGGACTGATGGCACATGACCACCAACAACATTTAAAAATCAGATTTCAGTGAACATGTATGATTCTAAGAGTAAAGCAAGACTATATATATATATATTTTCTAGACCAAATTGGTCATTCAGTATTGTAATAACTACCTTGCTTGTATTAAAATGCAGATCCTTTTTGCTTTCAAATATGTATATCCTTATCCTGTATGTCTTAATGATTAATATTTTAAATATGTACTCATGTTTAGGAATTACTCAAGAAATGATTGATGAAACGAGGGCCATATCTGAAAAACAAATGCTTTCCGATTTAAAGATCCTGCTAGAAGAAGGTGGAGACATAGAGTACAGAGATCATCAAGGTGCAGCACCAGTAAGTTAATTTATTAAACTCCATGTGATGTAAAATATGAAATTTATCCATTAAAATTATAGTTTACCTTGAATATGGTAAGGAGGAATTTTTTATTCAAATATATAATTTGAATCTTAACATTACATAACTAATTTCATATCTTTTTACTCCATTATTTTAAATTCCTTTACACCATTAACAGTGGCAGCTCTTCTGTTTGTGGACATCAGCACATAAACCCCCAAAGAAAAAAGAAGATATAAATATATTAGTTAACAAATTAAATACACTTCTAGATTTTTGTCAATTTCCAGGATGAGTTTCTCCCCCTTTTCCAAATATGGAAATACGTAGCTAACATACTACAATACGAAGTCCATAATCCGGACGTCCATTATCCTGAATGATCTATAATCTAGACCTCAAAGCCACAAACCTTTTTTTTTTTTTTTTTTTTTTTGTGTGCTTTACACATGCGCGTTATGCGTTTCGGCATGCACGTTTAATGTATAACAAACGGTATAACCTAAGCTAAAATTATCTTTGCTGATTCTATGACATTTCAGTTAATGTTGCAGATTGGGCTGTTCCTTAATCTTCTTAGTTTGATCCAGCTTATTATTTTTAGCAGACTGTTATTATTACGGCAATCTTATTAAAAATCTAAGCTTGAACTTTTAATTATGTCGAAAAGAGTTTTTCCCAATTCCGGAGCTGCCCAAAGGATCTACAAAGCGAAACCATGTTTCGATGTACCGCTTCCGATACTGAAGACAAGTGACAGAGAGATCATTGAAAACTGAAATAAATTTCGATAGACAAGTTAGTCGGTATTCTCGTCACAACAATTTTACGAGGACTATGAACATTGGAAAGTGAACAAGAAATTATGTCTGTTTATAGAATTAAAGAGAAAACTAACTTTTTGCACAAAAAAACGGAAGCAACTTAAACAACTTACATTGAAAGAAATGTTTAATAAAGTAAACAAACAAATATTAAGCTTTTTTTTTTTTTTTTTTTTTTTGTAAATTTTGATATACCCTTTAGATCACAATTACTCTTTATTTCATAAATTACGGTTTCATATTTTTAATTGTATAATTTCTGAATGCCATCTTACCAGACTTAAATTGATGATACCCGCTAATCCGGAATCGCCGAAGTCCCGACGAGTCCGGATTATGGACTTTGTACTGTATATTGTAGATTGCTATAGCACAGATTACTTGATTTCTGTGGTTCATACGATTGAGAAATTGCCTTTGAAAACTAGTTTATGGAGACAGAAGCAGACAAAGAAGCAGGAGGGGAACAACACTGCTCCTACCTTTCCATTTGTACATCTTCGGTGTGAGGGAGCTTGCACTGTTTTGGAGTCATCTTGCCCAAATTAAACTGACGTTTATGGCCACATTCATTCGGCACCCTAATTGTGCCTATTTAAGAACACTTACATTTTTTATACTGTTGCGATAGGACGTCAACACAGCAAAATTACATCCAAGCTGCATAGAGAGAGAAGCTAAAGTGCATTGGAAACTCACAAAGAGGAAGGTTTTGGTTTGAGTTAGAAAGGTTTCAGTTCTCAGAGTTTAGGTTCCCAATTACTACATCATTGACATTACGAGGCGTCGTGGCATAGATTAATCTAGATATGACGCTGTCCAGAAATGTTACTATTATTTTTAGAATGAAGACGGGAGTTATTAATTTATTATTTGAAAGACAGGTATTTTATATTTTACATGTATATATGTAGCATAACATAAAACGGGATTATTACATATGAATTTTGTTTTAGTTTTACTGAAAGCTTCAATAATTAAGAGTAAGTAAGAAGCATCACAATTGTAGATTGCTGTTCAATTAATAAACGGTTAATGGTATGGACTAATAAGTAATAAGCAAGATAACCACTGAGTAGTACTTAAAATCTTGAGCATTTAACCTATATTTATAAACTGTAAGCATTTCAACAGAAAAGCTTTTGGATGTAGTAATGTTCTCACGTGATTAAAAGCACAATTTGGCTTTTATATGATTACAGTACAAAGTACATAATCCGGACTCATCGGGACTTCGGCAAGTCCGGATTAGGGGGTTTTCTGGATTATAGATCATCAGTTTAAAACTGGTAAGATAGCATGCAGAAATTATACAATTAAAAATATGAAACCGTAATTTAGGAAATAAAGAGCAATTATGATCTAAAGGGTATCAAAATTTACAAAAAAAAAAAAAAAAAAAAAAAAAAAAAAAAAACTTAATATTTATTTGTTTACTTTATTAAACATTTCTTTCAATGTAAATATTTTAAGTTGCTTCATTTTTTGTGCTAATAATTTCTCTTTTATTCTATAAACAGACATAATTTCTTGTTCAGTTACAAAGTTCCATTGTTCAAGTCCTGTAATTGCTGTGCCGAGAATACCGACTAACTTGTCAATCGAAATTTTTTCGTTTTCAATAATGTTCTCTGTTACTTTCTTCACTATCGGAAGCGTGCATGGGTAAATGCTTTACTGGCTTTACGCGCACATCAAATGCGCATGCGTAAGTTTGTGGCTTTGAGGTTCGGATTATAGATCATTCCGGATAATGGACGTCCGGATTACAGACTTTGTACTGTATTTGCATTTTATTGTTATATTGTTTTTTAATACTAATCATAAATTGGTAGTTAATATGTCAAATTTTGATAATTGCTGAAATTTTAATTCTTTGATTTGTCCTTTAAGCTTCACATAGCAGCTGCAAATGGTTATGTAAGTGTTGTAGAATTCATCCTGGATAACCATGGTTCAACAAATGTATGTGACAATGATATGTGGCAACCCATCCATGCTGCAGCCTGCTGGGGACATGTAAGTCATATGGAATTATTAGAAACTTTCTTTCTGGTATCATTTTACGAATGTATTCATTGTCGTATTTTGAACACTTGTATATGAAATGACTATAAAACACTGCATTCTGCATTTTCATAAATGTATATGTTAAATTATGCAGAATTATATGACTTTTGAGTTATGTCATGTCTAGACAATACTTCACCTGAGGTACAGCACGCACCTCTATCGATGTGACACTTTTACATTCGACAGAGGAACTGTACTAAATCATGGTACCATAACTCTTAAAATAGATGTAATCATACCTTTGTATACTCAGAAAAATAATACATGTAATAAACTTATAATTAAATGAAAATATTAAAAAATACTTTTTTAAAAATTAGCAGATATCATTGAAATAATAATACAATTAATATAAAAATGAACTGCAGAAATTTTTACCTTGCTTTTTGATAAAGAAGAATCAATAAAAATTTTTTTAATGTATTTATTTAATTCATGTTTCTATGTATAAAGAATAGGTTTATTTCGTGATGAATGGGCTGTCTGCACTGCTTTTATTATTATTATTATTATTATTATTATTTCAAATGTGTAACTTGAATACGGGCCAACTTCCTTTAGAAAGTCCTCTAGGAAGGCATTCCTCCTCTTAGGCAGTAGCCTTTGCATGCTTTGCCGTAACCAAGCCAAATGAAACCTATTAATAGAGAAGTTACATTTGAAAGTAGTGTGTCTGTTTTCTTCAATTAAATATTGATCCAACAGGACAAAAACATCAGCTATACATACGTAACTGCAAATTTTATGATGAAGAATAGACAAAAGCTAACTTAGTATAAAAAGAGCAGGGGAGGAAATCAGATAACATGGTATATTTTATTTTCAGATATCAAGGTTTAATCTCTCGATGTCATTCCACAGCACTTTTGTGCACGTCTGTAGAAATGAACTCTAGGCATACGTCATGCCTTAAAAACTTACTATGATGAAATAAATCATAAATATATTTAAACAGTCTAAAATTTATTAGTTTCTTTATAATACAAATTTCAGAAAGAACTATAGTTCAGATTAATAAGAGAGAGAGACCAGCAGTATGGCATTTCCTGGGCAAATTTAGCCTATGTGGTTAATTACCATAAATGTATATACATTATTACCATAAATGTATTACATTATTGTCTAACATTATTGGCAGAACTCAAGTCACTACTTGAGTTCTGCCAATAATGTTAGAAAACAGCATCTAAGCATCTTAAATTATTTTCAAGAAAGAATTAGCATAATTAATTTTTCTCATAATTCAACTAGATTATTAATAACTAGCAGCTTCACTGCCAGCCTTCGTCTGGCTTTTAAATGTACAGGGAAAATAGCTGAAGGGAACACCAAAAGTTGAATTTAAAAACTGCATAGAATTTTACTCTGCAGGACAAATTTATAAAAAAAAAAAAAAAAAAAAAAAAAAAAATATTGCATATAACAAAATTACAACGAAATAAGCAATATCCCTTAATACAAATATTAATTATCCTAATAAATAAATTAACCAACTTCCTTTTGCAAAATCGTAAGAACTCAAATGGTATAAAGGAGGTTAAGAACTTTGTTTCCTAAAAAAAAATCACTCAAAACTTTTCAGTATCTTAAAAACAGTGAAATGAGCAATAAATAACATAAAAGAATACAAAAAACAAAAAATTCTAAAAAGCAAAGTACAATTAATGATATTTTCAAGAGGAAAAAATTACAATGAAATAAGCTATATCCCTTAATACAAATACTAATTATCCTAATAAAAAAATTAACCAACTTTCCCTTGAAGAAAAAAAATCATGCAAAAATTTTCAATATCTTACAAACAGTGAAATAAGCAAAAAATAACATGAAAGCAACTCAAAAAACATAAAATTCCGTGCGAATTTTACTCGAAGTTTTATTCCGCGCAGAACGACTTAAAAAAAAAAAAAAAAAGCATTATATATATAAAAAGACAATGAAATATGCGAGTCTCTTAAAAACAGTGACATAAGAAATACAATGAAAAATTGTTGTCAAACCCATATTTCTAAAAGAATGAAACTATTCAAAATAATGCGATTTCATCAATAACAATAAGAAAGGAAAATTGTTGCCAAACTCACATTTTTAAAGATGTGAGAAGTGTACTCAGAAGCTTCATTTAAATTTTTTTAAAAAAATGCAAAATATTATCATTTTTCCAAAATTCTTTTTGTAAAAGCAGTCGCAAGGATGAAAGTTTAATGTATCCAAAAATCAAAGAAAAATAAACTGTACATTTTTAAAAATAAACTTTTTTAGAAAAAATCCCATTGAAAAGGTGTTAAGCTCCCTTTGTTAAATAAATTCGTATTTAATCGATTTATTGAAACACGAAATTTATTTTAAGTTCGTAAAATAGCTAAGTGCTATTTCATGACGATGTGAAAATGGAGTCTGTAGAGTAAAATCTCGTTTTCCTATAGCCCATTATGTCTCAAAATGACGCGATTTCGTCACAAAACATAAAATTAAAAAAATTCTAATTTCGAAAAAATCGCTTCGAGGTGCACTGGCTCTTGTCTAGATGCACCTATGTACCAAATTTCGTAGCCGTGGGTCTATTAGCTTATGCACAGTGCGTGCGAAAGACAGACACACACACACAGACAGACACTTTCTTTTATTATATGTAGAGATAAAAATGTATTCCTAACCCTTTTTTGGAATTAATAGGAACCATGCAATAAAAAATTGCATATTAAAAAACACTAACAAAGTAATAAATTATTTCTGTTTAAATAATTTTCATAGTATATCATATTGACACTATGCTTTATCAAATATAAATTGAAATTCCACCCTACTGAAAAGAAGACTAGGATAGTTGGTCACATAGCACCCTTAGTAACAATACCAAGAATATAATGCTTTTAAACTGTCTAAGAAATGTTCATTATTTCAAATGGCACAATATTGTAAAACTGCACTTCTTGATGTCTTTTAGAGTGTAGAGTTAAATCATAATTTCTTTTTTTAAAATGGAATATACATTTCATAGCAGGGCCATAACTAGAGATTTCATTTCTTTCATAAGAAATTTGGCTTGGTGGTATATTTAATTATGGCAAAGCACATTAGGGTTATCTGCCTAAGGGGAGGGATGCTTTTATGGAGGACTTTCTAAGGGAAACTGGCTTGTATACACATTACACATTGAAATTTGGCTTGAACTTGGTGAGCATCAAGAACATTTTTCATACCTTGGAAATGATGACGAAGATGTGTGCATAAAATACCCATCATTGGGTCAGTGTTTTTCCTTACCCTACACCAGCAAAAATTTTTAATTATTTCTCAAGACTTGGAGATCTCTGAAGTGAGAGACACCAGATTTCCAAATTTTCTTCTCAATTCAATGATTGTAAGCAAGTATTCTCCAGTAATCTGTATGCTGTTTCAGGTTCTGAAAACTTTGAAACAATATTTTCGGAACCCTAAAACTTTGCATTGTATTTATCACTAAGAACAAGATCAAATGTTTCCAGTTTTTTTAGGGGGAGTGTATTGCTTTATTACTTCCCTTGCTTTTTTTGAACTAATCAGAATTATGCAGTTGACACATTTCATCACATCATCAAACCTGTGCTTTAGCACTAGAATTATGGAAACAGTCATTTTGACTGAAAAAGAAATTATATTGTTCCTATTTTTAAAATTTTCTTTTTAAATATTTTCATATTTTTTATTTTTCTTAAATACAATGGTCATCAAAATTAAAGGATAATGACAGAAATAAATAGTAACTGATACTTAATGAAAAATTACTGATAGAACTTTAAATTACGATATCTGACAGCTGATTATTTGCAAAATAGTGAAATTAAAAGCCAAATTTATGAAAATTGGAAAATGGTAAAAAAAGTAAATCACCTCTTATGGAAAATATTATTCTTTACTATTTACTATGGTGTTTTGTCACCTTGGACATATGTGCATACTTTACACCTTCATTTCATAGATTTTAACCAAAGTGTTCATCAAGTCTTGTGGAATTGCACTCTTCTAAAAGTGTACTTTTCAACTCCTAAAGGATCTGGGAAGGAATTTGGCGCATTGAAATTCTGTCCCTAAGGCATCCCACACATGCTCAGTTAGGTGCATAAGGTGGCCAATCCATTTGAATGATATTTTCTGTTTGCAAGTGTTTTGACACCACATATGCTTAATGAGGACGAGTATTGTCACCCATTGGCAAAAGCTCTGGTCCAACAGCTCCTCTAAACAGTCTAATTTAGGGTTCCAGTACCTCGTCTACATATCTCCAAGTGGTTACGGAACCTTCTTGGAAGGTATGCAGCTCGATGCAACCATTTGTCATGATTTCTCCCCAAATCATTATTATTATTATCATGCTTACTTTTATCATGCTAATTTGATTTTTTAAATCTGTTAAGGCATTGCTGAGAAAATGGAAACATCTGTTAGAGTGAGATGAATATTTAAGCTTATTTTATAATAGTAATAAATAAATAAAGTTTATGCCAAAGCAAGCAAATGATAGTTTAAATAGGAATAATTTACAGCACTCGGCAAATTACATCTAGCAAATTTTGTATGTGTTTTTCCTTTTTTATATTTTAATTAAACACTGGATTACAAACCATAGCTAATAGATACAGTGAGTCCTATATTCATGTAAAAAAGATCAGCCTTTAATATAACTTAATAAGTGCAAAAGTATACAGCATTTCTTTTTGAAACTTGATGATCTTATATAAAACTTTAATTATTAAATTCTAAGAAATTTGTTTTATTTATAATCAAGTTACATATATAAATTCTCAGCATTTTTATCACACATTAAAACTATAAAGATAAATATATAATACATTCCAATAATTTGCACTTGTGGGCATACATTTTGCCCTTTGTAATTTTTTCATTAAATTTGCATTGTTTGCAAATGAATAACTAAGAAACTTATAATTTCAGAGTTACTTAATAAATATTCATTAAATACAAAATTATATTTTTAATACATTCATATACTAAAAATATGTCATTATAAGGGGAAAATGTTGGAAGGTAAAGGAATAAATGATATAGAAGTTTTTGAAAACTCTTTTCATAAAAATGCATCAAAATATTTTGTATATAAGAAAAACTGTATATCCACCAGCAAAATGACTTCTAATGAAACTTTTATGCTCTTAAATGGAAGGAAAACTAGGTATATAAATAATCACACTATTTTACAGAACCTTGACAGCATGTTTTCCCCTAAATTGAATCTCTATGCTATATCCATACATTCCACATATGTGTTGTCAAACTAACAATATTTTACAACAGCTTACAAACACCAAAATGAAATTTTGGTTTTTTAAAAGAAAATTTGTTTCTTTATATTAGTTTTATTTTTAATACTATATAAATCTGTGTAGAGGTTATTCTTCAGAATCTATTTCTGTTAGCAGGTGATATAAACCAAGTTTATATTTGTTGCATGAAATGTAAACAAACCAGTTACGAAGTGCATTTCATTTAAAATTTGTATCTTAAAAGCTGTGAATAAATAAATAAATAATTCGCACATTAACCTCATAAACCTAAAACTAATATTAAAACAACATATTAACTACTCAAAATTTATAATTATACTAATAATTTATCAAAAAAAAGTACAAATTTATGGTGTATGATTACTACAAAAATTTATGCAGAAAATGTTATATAAATTTGATAATGAATAAAATTAATTCCTGTAGTTAATATATGTTGTAAATATTTTAATTGTGTTACTTTTGTTAAAAAGATTATTTACATATTTATATTAAAATAAAAAAAAAATATTGTTAAATATGCCATATTGAATTTTCTAAATATCAGAATGTCTGTTTACATCCAAATATAAGTGTCAACACAGGCATTCCCAAATTATAGGAAATTCTGTAGTATATAGAAGTAAAGGCAAAGTATAGCTGTAATTTAATTTATTTTTACCTTTATTTAGCCAGATGTGATAGAGATGCTTGTACTTGCTGGAGCAGATTTATCTGCGAAAACCAAAAATGGAGAAACACCTTTCGGTGAGTATTATGCAAAAAAAATTATAAATAAAGTGTGTGTTAACCATAATAATGCTGTAACTATATAGTGTAAGTTTTTAACATAATCATGAGAATTATCTGCTCCAAAAGAATTAAATCTGTTTTTCTAGATTAAATTTCAAGCTTCATTTATTTTCAGAGTAAAAATCCTATTGAAATAAAGTGTTGTGCATATTATATTATTTATTTATCTGTAGATATTTCATTGAGAAGAAAGAAAGAAGCTACAAGGTATAAAAAATAGATTCTAATAAATATTACTAAATACACATAGCTATTCAGCTATATACAGAGCCTGTTCACACATTTTTTAGACGATGTATATTGTATTCACAAAACTAAATTACATAAAATTTTTGTGTTTTAAATGTTCTATTTGACATCCCTTATTCTGAACTATCTTTCGACACCGCATTTCCAGGATAAATGCCTTTTTGAATGGCAGAGAGGTATTCTATCCCATTCCTCCCGAACAGCTTTCCAGAGTCCTGTTAGAGTTTTGGGACAACGTTTGGATAATGCAGTTTTTAAAAGTCCGTAGGAGACACATCGGGAGATTTAGTAGGGATATCAGTGAAGGGTTGATACTTTGATACCAGTGTTTTTGTTCCATTTCTTTTAGGAAATTTACAGTGGATTTTGATGTGTGACTGCTAGCTTTGTCCTGATGAAGTCTCACAGATTGATAGCACTGTGGGTAAAGCGATGGTATTTCATTCAAAAAAATTGGCGATAAAATATGTTCCTGATAGTATTTGGAGTTAATCTTGACATTTTTTTTTTTTTTTTTTTCACTCTCTTATTTTAACTTGCCATTATAAGAAAACCCAGCAAACAATCATGAATCCTTAGAAAACTTTCTTTCGATTCTTTGAACCATGTACTTAAATTTTTTCTCCCTTTTTTGATAATAAATGGCTCTTTTTTTGTTACAATCATTTAAATACACCCCGCTTCATCTATTGTGATAATTGTTTTCCATTTTTTCTTTTCTTGATATGTTTCTCATATAGAATCTGCAGCGTGTCCTGCGTTGAGCGATATGCTTTGGAAGAAGACGATGCACATTGCGTTTTTTCGCTTTCTTAAGATTTAAATAAACGTTTATCATTTTGTTTACAGTGGACACTAAGCATTGTAATGATTTTGCAACTGTCCTTTGACTAGGCGGATTTTCTTTTAACATTAAACAACACAGGCATTCCCAAATTATGTCGAAGATGTCCGTTTTTTCCTTGGATACTTGTTTGGAATTTTTGTCCCACTTGAGGCTCCGATTTGACATTTTTTTCCTTTCTTGTTGATGATATTACCTATCGACGCTTTAGATATCACAAAACCATGACTCTCACATCGTTTTTGGATAACGGAGTATGCATATTTCTCTTCGGAAAGAGCGTAAATGTAGCCTTTGAACCACTGCTTTGTTAAATTTGCTATTTTGAATAAAAACAAAATTTTCAAGCCATAGACGATAATTTTGACTTTTTAAAACATAGTAAAATTGTAATTACTTCTTTTGCAGCAAACAATTTTTTATTACCGCTTACCAAAATCCTCTAAAAAAATGTGCGAACAGCCTCTATATTGAGGTAATTGTGTATTGTGTTGAACTATCTGAATTCATGAAGGAAGAAGCTAAAAATTAATTAAAACATCATGCTAATAAGGAATCAAATCAATTTTTCTTTATTAATGTCTTGTTAGACTATACAGCATATTAATGTTTTATTATCAAAACCATAACCCAGAGTATCTATTAGAAATTGAACTTCAAATATTTGTTCTGATAATATTTGGTTGTTTTAAAAATATCCAAATCTCTTTAAAATTTTATTAATCCACTGTACATTTTAAATTTTGGATACAAGATGATCATGCTATATGACATGTATGATGATGATGATTAGATACAGAATATCAAATTTCACAAGTTGTTCTAAATTGATAAACTGTAAGAACATATGAAGAAATTGTACAAAATAATTTAATTACGTTACTATTAAGTAATGTGTCATTTTGAATGATGATGTTCCTATAGTAGTATTAGAATAGAATATTGTATAGCAGATGGCTACTGATTATGGAAAATTGTATATACAGTGGCTCCCAAAAGTGTTCATACACTTATGATTTTCATTGAAATAGAGCTCTTAATTAATGGATAGAGTCCTATTTCAATGAAAATCATAAGTAAACTTTCTGAATGAGATTTTAACAGTAAGATCTGTAATCTATTCATAACAAAATTATATGAAATATTTTTTAAATATAGCGAAACTTTATTTTTAAGAAATTAATAATCAAAAAATGACAAACATTTTATCTCACAAAAGTCTTTGTACACTTCAAAAAAAAATTTGGCATATTAGTAAATATTTTCGTTAAATTAATATTAATAGGATATCCTTTAGCATCCACAACAGCTTTTAAACGTCTGGGAATAGATTTTACTTTTTTTTTGCGGGGGGGGGGGTAATTTCTGTATCAATGTTTATCCATTCTACCATCATGGCTGTTTTGAGTTCGCTTTTCATTTTGATGTCCTGTTTTCATACCCTAACCTCCAAATTTTTCCAGATGTGTTCTATGAGGTTTAAATCTGGCAACTGAGGTGGTGGTTTCAAAATCTGTGGACAATTATAGATACTACAGGTGAACGTTGAAAGCCGTATACTTAGGATCATTATCATGATTAAAAATAAAGTTGTTTCCAATACCCAAATTTTGGGATGATAATTTTAAATTGTCTCTTAAAATATTTAAATAAAGAGAATGATTCATTATGTCATCAATAAATACCAACCTGATGCTGTCATGCCCCTTCACACAAGACCACCTCCACCGCCATGCTTAACTGTTCCAACTAAGTTCACAGAATGAAGTTCCTCATTTTTTCTTCTCCATACAGTTATTCGACCATTGGAACCAAAAATATTAAATTTGCTTTTGTCAGCAAATGGGGCATTATTCCAGTACGTTTCGGGTGTATTTATCATTGATTTTGCGAATGAAAACCTAACAAAATTTCTGCCTTTCTGTTTTTTTCAATAACAAATTTTTTTTTACGGGCAGAACGCCCATGTAATCCAGCTTCTCTGAGAAATCGTCGAACAGTTTAAGGTGAAATTGGAGTAGAAAACTTTGCATTAAATTCTGCAGAAACTTTTACAGCACTCAAACATAAGTTTTTTTACAAATTTTCTAATAATAAATCTCTCATCACATTTAGTTAACTTTCTTGGTCGACCTTTTCTTACCTAGTTTTCAATCTGATTTTCTTTTTAAAGCATTTTATCACATACTGCTTTGTAGAATGGGATAAATGAATTTATCATTTTTTGATTATTAATTTCTTAAAAATAAAAGTTCGCTATATTTAAAAATATTTCATGTAATTTTGTTACGAATAGATTACAGATCTTATTATTAAAATCTCATTCAGAAAGTTTACTTTTAATTAATGGATAGAACATCCAATTTTAGCAGCATCCATTAGATTTTCAATGAAAATCATAAGTGTACGAACACTTTTGGGAGCCACTGTATATATATATTAGTGTACAAACTTAAAGAAAACAACTTATAGAAAGGTGATGCATATGCAGATATTGGCACCATGATGTCAGAGTACGTCACAGCATACAAAATAAAATGCTTCTGCAGGTGCGAGATTCTGTGTGCAGTATGGCTACAAGAAAATATCAAGACACCTTTACATGTGGTAGAGTGATTGACAAGCTTAAGGAGAAGTGTAGTTTGATGTCTATTGCCCAAGAGTTTGGAATTGATAAAAATGGTATTTCATGAGCTTGAAAAGGTCTAATAAATCTTCTAAATGGCAAGCATAGCTGTAAAAAAAAATTGCCATTGCTGGCCAAAGAAAAAATAGTGACTAAATGGTCAATATAATTGTCCTGCAGGTGAAAAGTGATTGAAACTATTCATCTGCTATCCTGGCCATTGACAGTATAGTGAACATAATGACTTGGACACCTCATGAGTGGAGTCACACTTTCTTTATTGGTGACAGTTTTTTCAGTCTGACAAATAATTCTTGGCACCAAACTAAAATGGAGGGAAGTAGAGAAATGCTTTTATTATACTACATCGGAGAAAGAAACCATTGTGGGTCATCTTGGCATGTTTGTATGGAAAGCCATTATGATGAATGGATGGATGATATTCCAAATTTTCAGTCGGAAATCACTTACTGTAAGTTATTATTGTGATGAAATTATTGTCCCCCACATGCGTCTTTACGCATTGGTCCTAATTTTGCTTTTATGGATGAAGATGCATTGCCATGTAGGACTTTCATATCTTTTCATTGCCATGTAGGACTTTCCAGGAGCTCCTCAATTAGCGTCTATTGAGGAGCTCCTGGAAAGTTAAGATATTCACAGAATGTGTTGGCCAGCATGCTTGCCTGATTTAATTCCCGTTGAACATGTGAGAGCGATGCCTGGCAGCACGATCTTACACTCTGGAGAACACCAGACAACTGAAACAGATTTTTTCTTGAAGTATGAGAACTCTTACTCCAAGAGCTGTTAGATAATCTGGTGTTGAGCATCAACAGGTTGGTGCAATGCAAGCACTGCAGTTTAGGGGGTGATATCGCTTTTTGGTTTGCTGTTGACCCTCTCAGCCATACAGTAAGTGTTGTTCTGTCAATTCCCGTGCTGTATGCATCCTATTCGTTTTTTTTGCTACTATACTTTTCTTATCCTTTAAATAGTACATTGTACCTCTGTAGGATGAATTTCAGGTCTCCTAATTTATTTTCTTTGCAGAATAGTGGCCCAAATCAGAAAAGTTGCTTAAGTTTTGTCCTCTAGTGTACTTTCACATTAGATTACTTTAACACCATATGCAGGATTTTGTAAAAAAAAAATAGTTTGATGAATTTGTTGCTTTGCATGGGTGCCCAAATGAAACAATATATATATATATAATTTATAAAAAGTTTCCAAGATTATAATTAAATGTATTGGGCATATGCAAAATTTCTATGCACATTTGTAGATGCAAACTACTATCTGTAAATTTAATTCATGAAAAAGACTGTGCGACTGTGAGAAAGCATGGAAAGTAGATCATATATATATATATATGTATTGAATTTGGCAGAATAGCTTATGTATTTAATGATTAACACCAAACATTAATGTATGAGGTTGTTAAAGGCAGTCTTACAACTATAACAAAAATCAAAGAGAAAGAATGCAGTTCATGGTAATACATTGTTAATGCTTTTGAAAACTTTGGAATGGAAACAGGAAGTGTAAAGAGCCATTACATTCCAGACATTCCTTAGTAAATTTCGAAAAAGTTCTTAATCGTAGTTAAATGATCCACATCCAGCTGTCCACAAACTGACAGAAATGTTGTTAGGAGAGAACAGTAATCAAAAGATAGATGCTGGAGCTTTGGTTCATGATGAAGTTCAATTAATGTGTACCATATCAGCTTTCTGTGAAGCAGTGAGAGGGCTGGTAGTTGTGTTTCTTTATTTGCTCATTACAGAATTAAATCATTTTTTGACTGTTACAAGAGATGATAAATAGGTACTTTACAGCAATGTCAGGAGTTAAAGAACTATGTGCTGAGTTTTACAAATCTGTGCCACTGACCTCAAATAGGGCCAAGGTTTTACTTTGGTTTATGGTTTCATATCAAAGGAATATTCATTCAGAAAAGTGCAAATAACTAATCAGAGGAACTTTATTAGAGAAGGATTATACCTAAGTAGCCAGTGCTCATCCATGCAAAAGTATGATTTTTCACTGCAAGTATCAGACTTCTTGCTCCTATAATCACTTGGCTAAGATTTAAGGAAATAAATATTTTATTCAGAAATGTATTCAAAATCTCATCTTAAATTTTTTGTGCATGTTACCTCATATTTGGTGTCAGTATTGCTTTTTCTGCATCCATGTTAATCTATTAAAGATAATTTAAGTTTCACAAAAACCATTATGAAAGTGCTTATATGTTTTTGAAGAAATTTAATTTTCTAAATGAAATGTGCAGTTAGCATTGCATACAAGATAGTGGTGCTAACTACTTTTACTAGTAAAATTAAAACATGAAGAATTTTTACCAACTATGGTATAAAACTTTAACATTTAGCATGTAGCCTGTCTGAAGTAGCACTTTTAAAATTATAATGTGCATTTTTTCTGGAACCCTTATTCCACACTTTTGATTACTTCAAAATATGAAAATTTGTGTACAAGCTATAAAAATGATAAGAGATTCAAGTTTAGATTACAAATTCTGCAAAAGATATATCTGTTAATGACAAAGAAAAGTTGTCATTAATAAAATTTTAATGAAAAATTGTCTTTTCTACGAGACATTCCATTTGTTGTCTTTCCTATGGGATATGTGATTTGTTTCTTTTAACCATTAGAGAGCAGTATCTAATTTCAGTGCTTGCATAAATGTGATTCAACATTTAACATATTTTGATATTTATTATAAGTATACTGTTGCATGCTATGGGTTTGTTGATATTTCCAAATGATCACTCCGGATAAACAGGAAGAAATTAACAATTTATTATATAAAAATCGACAATACACAGCACAATAACTACAAATAACTTTAACAGAATGCAGTATTAAACATTTCCTTCTTGGTGCACAAGAAATATCAGAGAAATATTTATCCAAATCACTTCCATAGTAAACTCTCGATTCAGCTAATGCTAAATCTCACACTCAGTAACAACTAACTAACAGCAACATCCAAGCTCTCAGAGCTGTATTTATATAGTGTAATATGAACTTCAGGAAATTTTGAGAAGAATCGAATGCCAAGGCTCGTGAGGAACGCATTTGCTCATACCTTGTAATCCACTTGAGCTATTTTTACAATTTAAATGTTACCACGCTTAAAATTGCAAGATCAGCAGTTCCAAATAAAATGCAAACATTTATGGGGAAAAAAAAAAAAAAATGTTCACAAATGTTAAACAAACCCTAAAATATGCAAATATCTAAGAGCATTATTATAATATTTATTGTATTGTTACATACTATAATGCAATAAAAGAATTTGGATATTTGCAGATATAAACAATATATAGATACATAAATATATAAAGAGAGAGGCAATGCGAGACAAGTATTTTTGCCTAAGTATGTTGCATGGAAAAGAATGAAAGATGGTCTTTTTTTTGTAGTCTGTGTATGTGTTTCTTCTGCACAACTAATTCATGAAGATCTTAAAAATATGATTTTTAATCATGAATGACTGAATTTATTTAAAAAAAAGTTTTATTATTCTATAAATTTAACCTGTTTCGAAATTAAGATTTTATGTCATTCATGGCTCATGGCAATTAAATCTTGCGCCTCTTCACCAGACTACAATTTTAAAATCATTGCTGTTAGGTTTTTATGTCCATTTGCATAATTCATTGTTAATTCAGAAGTTGGTCAGCTCTGATGTTTCCATTGTGATATCATATCATTTTAGTTAACATTATTATATAGAATTATTCTCTTAATCTGTTAAATTTTATAAACACGTACATATTCTTTTCCCCTGAAAATATGCTTAATATTCTATACAATTTATGTTCCTTTAATTTATTGTATAAATATATTTAAACATATATCTAAAGCATATTTTTTTTTTTTTTTTTTTGTATAGATATATGCGAAGATCAAGATTTGAAGGATCGTATAATGCAACTGAAGAACGAAATAGAGACAAAGAGGGCATCTCAACCTCAAAAACTAAGAAGATCTCAGAGCCAAAACACAAGAAGGTATATTATTTTAGACATATTGAAATTCACACTCGACATATTATGCCTCACAGTTTAAAAAATTATATCTAATACAGAACATGTTTTAAATATTAGTTCATCTCATAGTCCTATTAATAATTCAACTTGCATATTAATAACTTCTGAAAAGCTGCAGCGTCATAATTGTTTATTCATTAGATTTGTCCTTTATTTTATAAAAAAATTAGAATATTTTCCACAGTCATTGTTCTAATAACTGATTAGTTTATACAGTATAAAATCCCGGACATCCAGTATCACTCCCATTTTTTTTTTTTATTGGGGAAATATTGATTAACAATTTAATGGGAATTCTTGTGACAATAATTAAACATGAACTTTGTAACTCAACAAGAAATTGTCTGTCTATAAAATCAAAGAGAAAGTGTTAATTAGTACATTAAAAGAAATGTTTAATGAAGCAAACAAATAAATATCGAGCTTTTTCTTTGGAAATTTTGATTCTGTTAATCTTTTCACGTGAACTATTTCATAGACTAATTACATACTTGCCAGCGTAAGACGCTCAAAAGTCGGGAGATTTTTCTCAATGACAGAGATTTTTTAAATGATAAAAATATATTTTTAATAATGATTTAACTTTAAACAGTTACTAATTAATATTTGTTTAATATTTTTATTAGCTACTTAAGTGCAAACAATATAAAAATACTTGCATAATTTTATTTATTTATTTTTTATTTATATCTTTTAACAATATACTATATTATATATGTTACTGTGAAAGACTGAAATTGGAGAATGTCGACTTTCACCAGAGAATATCAACATTCACCAAATACGTCGGTGAAAGACCGAATATTTCACTACATTCTTGTATATTCGGACCCTCACCGGTGTATGTCGACAATCACAGATATGCTCTGGTGAAAGTCAAAAAGAGAGGTCATAAAGTGCCGTAATAGTTTAAGTTGTTGCAATAAATAAGATTTGAATCGCATAATTTAGTAAGTTTTTTATGACTGTTATTTTATTTTCTCATTTAGAACGTACTGTATAATTGTATACATTAACAACTTTTTGCTCCTTTGTTTTTCAGAGAAAAATTTAATTTCTCATTTTTTAATAGAACTCTTGTTCTTGTGCTTTTGTAAACATACATGTTTGAGAACCTTGGCCCTTCCAACCGTGCAAAATCTTAAAGACAAATGGTACAACATCACAAATATATTACATTTCCTAGAGGAAATAATAGAAGGAAAGCCATCTGTGTACGATTTCTTAAACTGTTTCTTGAAAGCACCTACACTCGCGCCGCTCGGCAATGAGACGAACGAAATAACAGATCTTGCCTTGTGCTTAATGACTAATGCATGTTAGGTGACACACATTGGAGAACTGGAACACAACGTTTTCCGACACACGTATTCTTCACTTGCAAAGCAGAAGCGCACCATAATTTCTCACCGATGAAACGACTTTGGTTTTCTTTTATATGTAATCTAGAGAAAAACCAACAGATGCCCAAAGTCACTTTTTTTTATGCAAATAATGAATTATTAAGCCCAAATACATAATAATAGTGAAAAATTTTAAAACTAAGAGAAAGTCGGGAGAAATGCGCTGTAAATTGAGTTGGCGAGAGAATGGTCGGAAATCAGGAAAGTTGTCAACTCTAATTTTACGTATTAAATCCATTTAATCAACTATTCAATCCGCAAGATCCAGAAAAACAAATCGGCAGGGTCTGCCATTTTCTGTTTCTTATCTATCGTGTTGTAAATTTTAAACTCCCACAGTAAACTAAATTTCCTTGAACCTTACTTAATGTAGAGAATGCGTGGGGCATAAATGTCCCAGATCAAGAAAGGTTTAGGTCATAAATTCTTCAGATTTTAAATTTTAAAATTTCTGAGTCATCTTGCTAGATTTAAACTTATGATCTAAATTCTGGAAAATTTATAAATCTGGAATTGCTGAAGTCCTGAAGATTCTGTATCTCGGACTTTGCACTGTAAAGCTCTATTCTCTACATGTTTGTAAATTAAATATTCATTACGATTTTCACTGTTTTACAAAATGATACAAGTGTTATGAAAATGGTTTTCTGGAAAAAATCTTTAATAAATGGAGACATATATCTTATTCAAATCTGCACGTGAATCGCAGAAAAGACTCATCTCGAACTAGAAGAGAAACATGCCAAAGTAAAATTTAAAGTTAGGTATAAAAGTAACTTTAGTTTTATATAGATTTTGAATAAAACTTCAAGTTTTAAAGGCAATCAGACACAGGTTCCTTTTCTTCAAAAGCAAAAGAGACTCGTGTTTGTTCAAAAGCAAAAGAGACTCGTGTTGACTCGTGTATCTGCAAAGTTTTATTTAACATCTACAAACTAAAGCTGCTTTTTTGCTAGTTTTAGACATCTATCTATTAGAATTTAAATGCTTGAAGATAACAACATGCATATATATAATACTAGTTTGAGCAAAATCAGTGAAAGAAATCCTGATTATCTTATCTGAGGAAAAGGTTATAGGTGTAAAATTTTAAAGTTGATAAAATGTCAAGTTTTTTTAATAGGATTATATATAAACAGCTACACCAGACCTGTGTCAAGCCTATTTAATCTACTAAGTCATTATGACATAATAGCATCTTAGGAACTTATAGTTCAGTAGTACTTTTATAGGCATTCTGATAGTGATGGATTTTTGCAAATGTACAGTACAACTTCAGTTTCATGATTGTTTTTATTGGTCTATTCCAGGGTTTCTTAAACTGTGGGTCACGGGACCTGCAGTAAGGGGTCGCCAAAAATTTTAGCAGTTTGATATTTCTGTAACTTACTGTAATAATTTTACAATTACCAAATATTTTTACACAATGTACCTGAAAATAGATAAAAATAAGTTTAAGACTGAAAAAAGTTTAAGAAACCCTGGTCTATCCTGAAACATGTAAAGCAAATGAAATTTTTTTTAAATGTTCTGTTTTTTATCTGTGTGTGTGTGCATGCTTTAAACGTAAACAGCCAGATGTAGACAGAAGTTTAATAACATTTTATAATATAAAGCATGCTTAAAATTGAGTGAGATGAATTAATGAAAACCCATACTTTTCCAAGTCTATTAACAGTAATTGTTTCAAGATTTGATTGTATTATATGGGATGTCCAATGTGATTTCTAGCTCCTGAGAATGAGAATATATACAAATATGAGATTCTAACATCTGTTTTATTATCTTTTAACATTATGTGTGATAGATCGAAAAGATGCATCTTATACATGAAACTTGAGTCATTCATGTCATTAAGATTCATTTTGAGAAAATTCTAAATTTTATTTTTGATAGAGAAAAGCTTAAAATCTATAATAATTCAAATCTTCATACATTTCCTTTTCTGTTGATAAGGATTTTATGAAATTAAAAAACTCATATCTTGCCCTGAATTGTAATTCAGGAAAATATATATTCTAATAATGGCTTTTTATATTACACAGTCAATCTGTACGAAGAACGAGCATCAGAGATAAATCTCTCATATCTCGAAGGGAAGCACGAGAAGAAGCTAGGATGAGGCATGAACAGCAAGTGCAGAGTAGCACGGATGATGTATGTAAAAGATATTTCATTTAATGCAATATTAACTTCTATCAAAATGTCTTAAAACATATTTTATGGATAATTTGAATTTTTATTTTATTTAACATTTTGGATCAGAAGTTTGATAATATACACTGCCGGACACTGAAAATGCAACACCTAGTCGCCATGTACAAGTGTGGTGTCAATATGGAAATAGGTCCAATCCGGCAGCAATTGTGGAACGCTCCACCATGCGACATCATGGTTTAGGGTTCAATTGCTTACGATTCCAGATCACCACTAGTTCGTATTCAGGGCACTATGACTGCCTACTGATATGTGGATGATATGCTGTAGCTGACGACACTTCCCTGCATTCAGAGAGTGCTCAATGTCAGCAGTATAACACCCGACCACACACTGCTTGCATCAGTCAATGTGCTCTGCAAGGTGTACGAATGCTTCCCTGGCCACCGTTTTCTCCTGATTTCTCACCAAACAAAATACATTTGGAATGTGATTAGATGCCATTTTCAGACCCTACCATTGCCACTCTACCATGTTCAGAAGACAACCTGTGGCAAATGGTGCATAGGAAATAGTGAGCCATTCCTCAGGACACAATCCGTAGTGTCCTTGACTCGGTACCTAGATGTGTTGCTTCGTGTATCGCCGTCCAGGGTGGTTCCTACAAACTATTGAGCCAACGCTGTTCTTGCTCTGTATGCATATGATTTCAAAATAAAGATCACTTATTGTTTGTTGCTATCTTTTTCTGTTTGACAAGTTTCATCACTTTCTAGCCACACCTTCTTGGTGTTGCATTTTCAGTGTCAGGTAGTGTTTATTAGGCTTTTTTAAATGGGAAGGGGGGAAATGAATTTTTGTTATATTTTGCTAGTACTTTCAGTCAACTATACATTCCTCTTCTTAATCAGGAATTCTTTAAATTGCAAATGGAATATAAAGTTTCTACATATTCCATTTACACTTTAAAATGTTCAGTGAATCCACAGAATTTATCTCTAAGGTAAGTGAAAATTTTTGTTTATTAAAGATAATAATTCATAAATAATAAATATGCGAGAATTATCACTAAAAGCATTTTGATTTTTTAAGGGATATAATATTCATATAACTAATCATGTATTTAAAAGAAGAAATAACTATGCAAGAGATTTGAATAATTTACTCACACTTTTAGATCCACATTTCATCATAGTCGAAGTTTAGCTTATAATTTTAGCTATTTTGTTGTTTCAGACATCAATATTACCTATTTAAGCATAATGTACTGGAGCTTTTAATCAATATAAAAATTGAAATGAGCTAAATATTTCATAATACTTCTTTCTCAGTTTATATTGTAAAAAACACTTTTAACTATAGATTTGAAATTGCTGTAGACCACAAAATGAAACATATATAAATTTTATGGTTATCCAGTAGTGCTTAATAGCATTTGAAAAAATTCACTGGCTACTCAGAGTAAAAATAATACATATCATTTATTGACATACACAATTATTATATTAACTTGCATTTGGCTATGTTTGGCAATGCCCTAGCCAACTTTTGCTATGTAGCAGGGCTAAGTTAAAAATTCATTCTATACTCTTCACCAATAAGTACACTTTTTTCAAGCTATGTGTAATATATGCTGCTTAAGCTAAGTACATAATTACATTGGTGTGCAAAAATTAAGGACGAAGTTGAAAGATTAGCTTATCAGTGGAACAAAGACTACTCAGGAGGTCGACTAAGGTCAGGTACATTAGCACATTCACATATATACAGCTAGACGTATTGGGGGAGCATCGGAGGGATATAAAGATCGCTGGAGGTGTGAGCTCAGCATTTTGAGGAAGCTATTGCATGGCATATATCAGTTTAAATGACGTCGAGTTACTGCATCAATATGAAATGTTGAAGAATAAATCTGTTAGACGACATCTGGATGCTTTTTACCTAAGGTTGAATCATTGGAAAGACTGAGGAAAATCACAGTGTGACAAGTGTGGCTGTGGAGTTCGGGATTGCTCATGGATGAATCCATGAATAACCATAGCAGCAGAAGGAACAGTCCCCAAACAGTGGGAGAAATCTCAACACATGGAACAGGTGATTGGATGACTGATAGTACGTTTTACCATGGCCAGGAGGCTGCACAATGGTGGTCTGTTTGCATGACGACCTGCATGTTGTATTAATGCCTGCGGAGAATGCATTTTCTGTAGTGCAGGGAACACCAGAATTGGATAGGTAATTAATGGGGCTAAGTACACTTTATGGATGAGAGCGGATTTAGTCAGAGTTGCTATTTTAGATGCATGCACATCAGGAGAGAACTGGGAACATCCTTCAACATCATCAAAAGGGACCGGTTTAGAGGTCGTGGAGTTCTCATTTGGGGATACATGAATGATACTTGGTAGCCGTACTGACCTTCACTTCTTCCAAGGAGTTTCAGTGACCTGAGACTTCTATTGTAACGAGGTTCCTTCCTTACATGCGTCTTTTCACAGGTACTACCTCTTTATGTAAGATAACACTCCACTTCATTGCATACTGCCAAAGAGCTGTTGGAGAATGAGGACACGTGGATTGGTCGGCCAGGTCTCTGAATCTAAAATTCCATCAAGCATGTATGGGACTTTCTAGGAAGACGCGTGGCAGCACTTATTCCCAGTAATGATTTCGGAACTATGATTGGTGCTACAAGAGGAATGGGCAGCAATGCCTTAAGAATGTAATGACAACCCCATATTCAGCATGGGCAAATGATGTGAAACCTGAACAACAGTCAGAGGAGATCATACCCTTACTAAAGACTGGATATTTCTTCTGTTGCATTGTGTTCCATGCTTTTTCAATCAAGTTCCATTCTATCATTTTGATTGCTTTTTTGGGAAGTTTTGCTTACATTACCCATGTTCTTACATCTTGGGGATCTTATGGTATTATTTTTGTTGATTTGGAAAGCTTTTTTGCACATTATATTGAGAAAACTGTCTCGTCATTAGTTTTTGCACACCAGTGTGAACTGGTACCAAATAAGAATTCACCAATAATTACCAAATAAGAATATGACTATCAAAGATGTAACGGCTGGTCATTTCAGGTAATAGTTATTTTGCATTATTAACAGTACTACAGTGAGCAGCATTCATATTCTGTACTATTTTGCATCAAGTACCTCATTGGGAGGGACCTGCTTATACATTCTGCTGTACTCTGGGTGGCCTGGAATGGCAACAATATATCCTAATGCATAAAGTGGCTAATGGACTTACGACTCTTATACTCATGAAGATGTTCCTGGTCTTCATTTGGCATCATGATGAACCATAATAGCATTGTCCTGTCAAAGTAGGTCAGAGTGCATTTTCTCCATGAATACACTGTATCCAAAACTGTTATTTCCTAAGATGTGTTTAAAGTGTGCCTCAAATAGGGAAGCCATTAATCTAAAAAGCCATGGTCAAAACTTTTAAGAAAGTTACTTTTTTATGTCTTTGTTTTCATTCACTCAATATATGAAATGATAAAAAGTCTAGAGGCTTCGTTTTTGCTCCAAAAGTTATTGCCCAACTATAAACATATTACTATATTGATTTTGAGGTCTCTGATAATTTTTGTGCATAATTCATTATTTCATATGTAGTTGCAATAATAAGTGAAATTTTGAAGAATGGCATGTTTAGACTTTTTCTGTGAACAAAATTTAATCTGTTATTTAATAAAACTCGTATGCAATTTCAGGATGATGAAATCAAAGTTCAGCATGATATGAGAACATCAGAAAAAGAAATGTTACCAACAAACCAAGACTATAAAGATGACGATAATGCAATGCATTTAGTAACAAATAAAGATACACTGCAAAGAGTGAAAGCTAAGAATATGAAGGACACAATAGATATAAAAGAAGGTAACCAGTTCATTCCTCTTGACCAAAATGAAGATGATGTCCACATGCATACACAATATTTAAATGCTATTAATGATAGTATGACAGAAGAGTTTAATAAACAAGCTGATGATGCTTCATCGTGTGAACTCAATGAAACAATGGTAAGCACACCTGTAATACAACACGGTCAGTCTGAATCTGTCAAAGTTGAAATCCATGTCACAGTAAATACAAGTCCCACATATCCGCCAAATCACGGAACTCTGGCTGATCTTAAAAAACACAGATCAGACATGCGGAGTAGAAGCAGCCTGATGTTAACATCATCGCAGCAAGATATCTCAGAAAAAGCAGCTCGGAATGGCCATACTTTTAGTGCCACTTACTTGTATGATAGACCACCGTCACCAACAATATCTTTGAGACGTTTCTGCAGTGATCCTTCTGAAATTGTTGGAGGAGAGCCTCACAAGCAAGGTTGCTGTATTGTGATGTAATTTATTTAAACTATTGCTGTAAATATGTTACCTTTTTTTTAGCCATGAAAATTTATATATAAAGTGTATTTTCATTTAGATTAAAGCAGTAGAGCAAGTAATGTGCATTTCATGTAAGAAGAAAAATTAAACCTCTCACTTCGATTTCTTATAACATTCACTTTCATTATACCTTAATGATGATTTTTTGCACTGTACTGTCCAAGTATAAAATAAGGTAAGCCAAACAATTTCAAGCATAATTTAAATTGTAAAATAAATGCCAGTAATTTATATGAAACATGACTCAAACAGCAAACCGGTTAACTATGTGTTAATTATTCTCTGTATAATTTCGCATTTGATTGTCTATAAGGTAATATTAAAAATATTGACAATTGATATTTAGATTAGAAAATAGAGAGGATATTTTTTAATTACTAAATTGCTGTTTTACCCAAGGTTGCACCATTTTTATTTCTTGTCAGCACTTATAAAATTTTAACAAAATGACAAATTGGCCAGGATGCAGGAACATCATCATACAGTTCACTTCTCAATTTTAGAACCAAACCTGATTTATTCAAAAGAATGCTGTTCAAAATTATTCTTACGGTTTGCAGATAGGAAAACTTGATGCAATAGACTGAGTTATAAATAATTAAAATGAAGTTTACACTGATTGCCGAGGTCCGTTTGACTATGATTTTGTTAGGACATTGAAAAGAAGCCATTCTGTAGCTTAACACAAAGCAACTTTTGCTAAAATTTTTAATACAGAGATTTGAATTCAGATAAAACCTAAAACAGTTTTAATTAAATATTTAAAAGCAAATTTAAAGATCTGATTATATAGCAAAAAAATTAAACATATTTGATGTACAAAGAAAACCTACTTTTTCACAATAACAGATTTATTTAGCATATACTTTCCATTGACCTTGCTTCATTTTAAAGTACACAGTATTTGCAATGAAATATTTGTTTAGTTATATTGAAAAATTATTAAAAACTTATAATTATTACGTTCGCCAAGTAACTTCAACTTCATCTGTTCGAAACCTTGAATAGAAAATTTCTTGATTAAAATTAATTCTAGCTACAGTTTTAAACACTTGGAACTTAAAAATTCATCACCTGCAAATTTATTTTACCTTTGAGTGCATATCGTATCTTCAAATTTTGTCACTTGGCCAGACCGGAACATTTCCAAACCTGCATGAGCGATCATTGCTCCATTATCAATACAAAACCTGTAAAAAATATCTTAAAACAATCTGACATTTATTTAAAAGCAGTATAATTATAGCTGGAATGAAGTACTTGAACTTACATACTTACAGCGCTTGGTCTAAACTATAAAAATAAACGTTTTTATGTAGGGGGAAAAAATTAGGCATACTCTGAGAGAATTTCACACATTCTTTTCATAACTGCTTTTGTTTTCAACGATTACTTTATTCATCATTTTACACTGGATGCTGAACATTACAATTAATATCAAAATAAAATTTTAAAGAAAGTTTTAATCATCGATTCCATCGATAATTCGATGTTCCTGGCTGCATACCTAAAATTCTGGATTTTGATCCAACAGATGAAGGTTGTTTTTCTGCCTCTAACATCACTTGTCCACTTCAAAATATGAAAGATTGACAAGGAGTAAACAAAAGGGTTGAAATCAAAAGAATTGAAAATAATTCTGTTAATTCATTTTTTCTGAATTAACAGAACCTGAACTGTGAGAAATTTACTCTCATCAGCAACTATATAAATACTTTTTTAGAGAAAATGCTAATCTTACTCCATTCCTTAATTAAATTTGTAAAGAGAATTAACAAAACTGACCCATATCTGAATATTCTGAAACAATTATGCAAAAATTACATAACTTTAACACATTTACAAAAACAATTTTGCTAAGTAATTTTGGAAAATTCGCTTTATACCATTTACTGTGTTCCTTAACCCCTTCACGATGGGTGTATCATATATGCAGCAGTATTTAATCCTCTTACTTGACGGAAAGCTACTTAGCGCAACTCGCCTCTGAGATGGTGTGTTATTTTTTTAAATCAATTGTTTTGATTTTTTCTGTAATGGTATCTAACAGTAATAAAATCATAAATACAGTATATCAAGAGGTTCTAAAAAGATTTAATTAAAATCTAAATGCAAAATAAAATATTTTACTTATCTTTATAAAATGTAAAAAACCTTACTTAAATCTATATGCAAACATACATAAAAAATAATATACTATATGATTAAGTATAAGATGGAAGAATAACAGATTCAGACTATCATTAACACTTTCAGATTGAACTTTTTAATTATTCCCAGCATTAATCCTAGGAATCCCCTCATTTTAGGCACATCTACAGGAGTATGCTGATTTTGGATGAAGATGGATTCTCACTCATTATTGAAATTACTAGTTTATTCAACTATTATGTTCATTAGGTAATAAAAAATTGTAATCAGTTTCATTGACATAACTTTGAATTAAGTTTACTTTAACACTACTAGTACAAGTAGTATTAAATCTTCGGTGTCAAAATAGTCACTCATGGGCACTCTTTTATTAAAACCTTCTTGCTCTTAGACATTGCATTATTAGTTTAATTCTCTTAACCGGTGCAAAAAACTTATGTCTGCTATCTAAAGAAGATGCAAACTGAATACATACCAGAGTTCCTAAAATCACAGCTCAACTCCTAATCTTCCCATGGGGGGAGGGAATTGAAACATCAGAAACTGTTCAATGTTTATATCATGTGAAGCCTCAGCTGGGTTTTGTTTACTTTATATCATCTGCTCATACCTCTAAACCCAAAGAAGAAAGAATTTGTTTTAAATATAGCACTGAATCAGAAAGTACTCCACAGACCCAAAGTCAACAATAATATGTTTGAATAAGCTAACTGTAGAGGACATGGAGCACCATCTAGTGATTAAAAAAATTCTAAAAGAACATATATGTTTGAAAGTGCATATATGACACATCCGTCTGGAAGATCAATGCAAGTGGCGATGCACTCAATGCATCATCCGGCTGCTAGCAACATATGGGACTCATGCATATATGAAACACCCGTTTGCAGACGGTTCTCAGTTCAACAACACGAGGTCGCAAAGGGGTTAAATTCAAATAAAATGTAAAGATATTTTAAACATTACACAGGGAAATAAAAATGTTTAATTTTAAAAACATTTTTCTAAAAAAGTAGTTTTAATATATTACAGATATTTTAATGACACCATTATAAAGTTACAATTATTAAAAAAATCATGAAATTTGCAAATCACCTAATCAAAATTTTTGTAAATAATAAACACAAATTTGTTTTAAAATGTGAAAATGCTGATAAGTCACCACACTTGGCAACATAAAACAAAAGAATTCAGGTCCCGAAGAAGAAAGAATTTGTTTTTAATATAGCACTGATGTAATGAAGAGAACAAATTCAAGTAACCCAAATGTCTGCCAAGAGTATGCATTTATAATACAGATTTGGCAGTAAATCATGGCACATTTTTGTGCAACTATGGAGGGAAAATTGCAAAATTTGTGAAAAATTAATTTTGTACATAAAAATTGTAAAAACAAAATAATTTGCATAAAAATTTGTAAAAGGTATGCTTTTTTCTTTAATACAGAGTTGTATTTCATAGCAACCTCATACTTTAAAAATATACTATAGACGTCAATTCAAGTGATCAGCAGACACTGTCATTTAAATGGTTTAAATCAGATTATTTATTCTGAAACGATATTTGCCCAGAAAGAATGGCTTCGTATATAAAACCGCGTGAGAAAGTCATGAGATGTGCGTGGGGAGGATAAATAAAAGAAAAATGAATCAAAATCACATTCTATCAACATGAATTAAATCAAGGTCAAACTACCAATGCTCAGTGCTCTTACTCACTAGGTCTTTAGTAGATAACAACAAGTAATTTAACACTCTGTTAAAATACTTTTAAAACAGAATTTTTCAATTTAAAAGACTTAGTGTTTAAAAAAAATGTAATAAAATTCTATATATGAAATGTTCAAAATTACAAACACATGGTGTTCTACATAGAAAACATTTTCTTTCATATATTTAAGAATATATAGTTATTGATGAATTTCCTATGTAGAAAAGTAGCTTTTTCAAGCCACATAACTGATGGTAAATAGACAAATATTAAAAAAAATATATAATACCTCAATTAAAAATGCTTTTATAATAAAATAATGTAGAAGAAATTATGCAAATATATATATGTAAAGATTACCTTTCATCAGTTGCATATAATTTTGCACCTCTTTCCTCAGCCATAATATGCATCATTTCTTGTAATCTTTCATTGCCTGTAATAAATGGTATTTGTTTAAAAAGTATATTATACAAAGAGAAGTAACTGAAGCTATAGCATTTATATTTACATTTTATTAATGAATTGTTACTTAATTTACTTTCTTTTTCGCCTTTTTCTGCCATGAGATTTGCTCATTCTAAAGTTTATGCAGATTTAAATGGCAAGCACTTTTATATAAAGTTTAGAGTAAAAGAGTCTGGCCTGCGGTCCACTGCTTTGCTAATTGAAGGAAAGGTGTGTTTGCAATGCTAATGCTGGTCTTATTGTGAGTAATGCAGATTAAGGTTAGACGTACTAAAGGTCGCTGAACACAGGTAGTTAGAGTCTGAACAAACAGGGTGGTTGCGTGGGCATTTTTGTGATTTCCTGTGTGTATGTGTATACGAGCACGCTTCTCTTCCCTTTTTCCCATAAAGACATCCATCCCATTTGACAGATAGCCCTCGAGTGCTTTGGCATAATTAAACAAGCAAATAAACAAACCCATTTTGGCAAGCACATTTTTGAATTTCTGTCAGTTTGGATAATTGAACACCAAACCATCGATTGCAAGCTACTAGTACCTCGCGGGGACATTTTTGGTAGATTGCGTTAACGCTCGCATTGACTAAACCTTAATTCCTCCACGGAGCTCACGTTGACGACAACTGCTTGTTTCTATCGTGCAGTTGCCATTGTCAGCCTCATCTCATAGTTGATTGTATAGTCATGAGGTTGTGCACATTATGTTTTTTGTGCATGTATTAGACATTTGCTAACCTGGATAGTTTGATTTATGCATTGGTACTAAGTTAGGTTTGTTCGAACGATGGTGTGTTAAAGTAAAAAAAACTCGTTAATTTAATTCAGAATGGTAGCTGATTACTTCTTTACCTAACTAAAGGACAAATGAGTGTGTTTACTGCACTATACAAGTGTATCAGTTGGGAAGAAAGGAGATGTCGAACGTCTTTTCAAAACCGGTTGAAAAGTATTTCCCACTGAATTCTGCTCTATGGAAAGAAACAATAAGGCAACTAAAATCGAAACTTAATGCTCAACAATCAACTTTTTTAAAACCATTAAACAAGAATAAAGCAGCAACTGAGACATCATTCAGAGTTTCAAATATTATTCCACAGAATAAGAAACCACATGAACTGTATTTTTAGAAGCTGCAGATGCATTATTTGATAGTTTAAAAAATACAAGTGTTATAAAGTCTGCTATTAAATCTGTACAGCTTTCTGCAAAGGTTGAGGCAATGAGTTTGGTTTGGTTTATTTAATTATGGGAAAGCACACTAGGGCTATCTGCCTAAGGGAAGGGATGCCTTTGTGAAGGACTATCTAAGGGAATTGGCTCATATACACGTTACACATGGGGAAAACCACAAAAACGCCCATGCAGCCAGCCTGTTCGTGGGATTCGAACCTCGGACCGAACTACCAGTGTTCAGCGACTTTACCGCTCGGCCTCTGGTGAGCCATTGTGGCAATGAGAAGAATTAAGGCGATGAGTTCTGACGTTACCTGACAACCTTGATCGCTTCAGCTATTTCTCCCAACAAATTGATGTTTTTATAAGAATGGGTTTTGATAGTTTTGAGAGCTGGTAAAAATTATACTTTTAACAGGACATATTTTTAGCAGTTAAAGATCTTATATTCCTATAAATAAGTTGGTGGGCTTAGCAACTGATGGAGCTCCTGTGATGGTAGGCAGAGAGAAGGAATTCATAACCGTATGTTGTAAAGACAACACTTTTTCGAAATTTCTATCTTAGCATTGTGTAATACACCAAGAGTTACTGCGTGCAAAGTTTTCAAGTATGCACAATGTAATGAAAACAGTCATAAAATAGCGAACAAAGTTAGAGTACACGCAATTCAGAGATGTTTGTTCAGAGCATGGATTGCTAGTATGGTGATCTAGTGCTTTATGTGGAAGTTCATTGGTTGAGTAGAGGCAGAGTTTTACAGTGTTTTCAAGAGTTGCTCCCTGCTTTAGTAGAATTTTTTAAAGAACGGGGTGAAGCCTTCCATGAACTAGAAGATCTGGTTTGACTGCAGGATTTTGCTTTTCTTACAGACATTACCCAAAATTTAAATATCCTTAACTTGCAGCTTACAGGTACGAATAAAGATATCAGCTGAATAATTTCAGATGTTGCTTCATTCTAAAAAAAAGCTGGAACTCTGGGAAAAACATATCATAAAAGGTAAATACAAACACTTTGCCTGTTTGATGAACCAAAACCCTTGACGAGCAAGGGTCTTCAACGCCTCCTTACAGCAGTAATCAAGTCAGCAGTCACTTTTTTTTTAAGGTGTACGTAGAAAATCACTTTTCCTTTGGCATTTTTCTCGACATTATATCAGCATTTTCAAAATAGTGTCTCGATGTTCCTATAGTTCCAGCATATTTGAAGGGCACGGAACAATTTATTTCAATGTTTCTAAAGCTTCAGGCATATTTTCAAAACATAAAAACAGTTTGAATAGCAAGTTCAACTCTATTATCATCACCTCATCTTTTTTTTTTTCACTTAGCTGTTATTTCATAACATCATTCCTCAATTTAGGTTAAAATAACATGCCGAACAAAGATTAATTTAGAAGTTAAACAAAATTTAGTGCTATATTTGCACTAAATTTTGTTTCATAGGACAGTTTCGATGGTTTTACTGAACCATCATCCTCATTTGCACTTTAGCAACTGAGGATGATAGTTCCGTCAAAGCAACGAAACTAGTTGTGTGAAAATTTGTACGTATAATGCTGATTTTTGTTGTTTAACTTCAAAAATAACATTCCTCAACTCAACTACACTGACTTTGAAAGGCAGTTAAACATTAAGTTACACTGCTCCATGCTTTTCTATCAACGTTACCTGTAAGCTTCACTTTTTGTAAGGAAATATTTTTTTTCTATCATTTGAACGAAAGAAATCTGCTTTCTTGAAGTAATTTCAGAAAGCAGGATGTTATTTTATCCTAGAACAAATGGAATACATTTATAGCGTCTAGGATTAAAACTAAGCATTCTTTTTTTCTGATCAAGATAACAGTATTCTGCAGTATGCCTCTTTTCAACATATAATGACAAAATTTAATAATTAAAGTCAACTAGTGCAGTTTGCTGAGAAGAAAATGATACATATATGTGTAAGTAGTATAAAGTTTAGAGTGCATAAATATGTGTGTTATAATCCATAAACAGCAGAACTTTTCTTTTTCAGTAATTTATAATTTCATTTAAAAATTAATAAAATTCCTGCCTTTCATAATTTACACAGATAGAAGTTTTTTGGAAGGAGGTGTGAACCAGCATAATTTCAATACCAATAATTAAAAATCACCAATAACATATAAATACTAATAATTAAATTAATTTTACCAATAATTAAAGCTGAAATGAGGTATTAGAGCAGTGTTTCAAAACGAGTGTGTGTGTGTGTGTGGGGGGGGTAATTGTATTGTTAAAAAGGGCAATTCGAAAATGGACTCTTCCAGAGTTTAAGGGAACAAGGTATGTTCAAATTTCCAAATTTTGTTCAAGAAGTTGAAATTTCATACTTTTATTTTAAAAAAAAAATAATAATGTAACTGATGTATATATAAAAAAGTTTTTAAATTGCAGTGCATTTTAAATATTTTATAAAGAATTTTCGCTTAGACATGGGCATTTAAATGCTTAGATATTTCTTCCTAAAACCTATCATTCAAGTGTCTTTCGTGACAACATTTCAATTTTTGGCTATTAAAAATTATCTATATGCTAGAATTTTAGAGGGGACTAGGTGGGGCATAGCACAAAAATGGTTGAGAAAAACTGTATTTGAGCATAAAAGCAGAGTTAATCTTTCAGTAAATCCCAGATGGTATTTTAATCAGTATCATAATGCAAGTTAAAAGCTCAAATTCAATTTCATTACAAACATGCCCCATGAGAATTGTTACACTTATAGTTCGAAAATCTTCGGGGCATTAATTGATAATGCTTCAATGCTTTCCTTTACCATGAAATCATTACTTAAAATAGGTTAAAACATTCAATTATAAGAAAAGAGATTTTATTGTTTATACATTAGGGAATGACAATCCAGAGGAAAAATTATTAGGACTAACAAGAATCCAATTAAACAGTGTAATGACACGAAGACAAAAACAGAACTTGAAGTGTTAAGCACAGAGAAAATTACAAATGGACATGTTTGCACCCCAAACAGATCGACAAGGAAAATGTTATAATGCCGCTACGTGATCCGACCTATATTTTGTGACAGCACCAAGCCACTGAAGTTTTAATAGGTGCAGAATACTTTTGGGAAATAAACTCGGGTGAATGCAAAATTATAAGCAATATTTGAATCGCCGTAAAGACATTAATCAGAGTATGTATTCAAGGTCAAACATCTAATGTTTCTCAGTGAAAAAATGCTAAATAATTTTTGTGTAGTGTTGGCATCAATAGCCTTCATACATGGCTACAAAAATAAACAAAAGAGTATTAATGATGGGTTCAATGACTGTCAAATAAATTAAGAACTGAAGAGGTTTTGGCAAATTTAATGGGTGTTAAATCTCAGTTTGAATATAATTCATTGAATTGAATATAATTCATTGAATTAATGGTAAAGATATGTAGTTAGATTAGTAAAAAGGGAATCAAATTTAAACAATAATTTTCATATTGCAAAACGAAGATTACTCAGTTTAAAGAACAGATTTAAGAATATCTTATCTCTTTTTGAAGAATATAAAAGGATAATAAATGACATAATAAAAGAGTACTATAAAAGGGACTAAATGAAAATAGTTGAAAATATTATACAAGAAATAACACCTGAAACAGAAGTATTTCAAAACAAAGCATATTATATGTTCCATCATCCTATTAAGAAAGATGGTGAAACTACAATACAAACAGATGTTTATGATGCTTTGTCCAAAAAGCTAAACAGCTTGTTTTTGAATGGTAATCTATTAAAAGTACCAGATTTGTAACTTAATATTTTGGCACTACTTCTAAATTTAAAAAAAATAATAAAACTTCTTTCGTGGCTAATATTGAAAAGGCTTTCTTACAAATTTTTCTAGTGGAAGCCGATCAGGATTATCAGACATTTCTATGATTTGAAGAACTGAAAACTTACCAAATCACGAGTCACATCTGGAGTGACTTCTACCACTTTCTTCTTAGCAGTGACAATAAAACATCACATAAATAAATACAAGATCTTAAATAAGGAAACATATAGGATTTTGAATGAATGCTTATAAGTTGATGATATGCAGGAGCAAACTCTGTATCTGAAGCTTGAAACTAGTCTACAGAAGCAAAATTCATCTTATCAGAGGTAGCTATGAATCTGAGAAAATGGAGAACTAATTCAAAACAGCTTTTGAAAATCTGGAATGATACACGATTTGAAAGTTACTTCATTTCTGAAAATTATGTACCACTGAAGGCACTGGGCATTGTTTGGAACTCCGAAACAGATGAATTTAGTTTTGATGTTTCTTCCATTTCTGCCATTTTTAGAAGATAGAAAGAAATCAAAAGAGAGAGGATCATGTTTTATGAAAGGATGGTCAGAACAGTAAAAACAAGTTTAAGGAAAGCAACCTGAAGATTTTCATTAAAGTTCTGATCAAAATTCTGAAACCTCAAAACATCATTAAAAACTGTCAAATACAGTTAAAAAAACTGACAATTAAATTAGAGCTTCCAAGCAAATACAAGCAATCCAGCCAGTGGGCAAGAAGGCAGATTTTTCAGTGCACAAAACTAAGTTCTTTCATCCCACTTGGCAAAAAGACACTGAAAGTGCCAAAACCGACTCAATTCATTATTCTACCAAGAGCTCCACATATAAAAAAATGGTGGCTTCATTAGGGTTAGTTGCGCCACTTAAACTTTTAAATTATTGACAACAGATTAATTAAAGGCATAAAAACCTTAACCAGAATATAGGAACAACATAATTCAATCACTTTTACCAACATATAAGAATAAAAAAAAACTGACGGGTAACAGAGTAAGTGTATATATATATAATATTTATATACTTTTGGTGCTGCCGATTGCAACCAAAAAGGAAGGTGCATAACTACATGTTATAGCAGTTTTGCCTAAAAAATTTCAATGTTCTGAGGCTACTTTTTGAGTTACACGAGAAACATACAGACATCATGGAAAAAACTCTTCTGAATCCATTTAAAATTCGTTTTGGACAAAATAATTCTTTATTCTGTCTATGCATAGTGATTTTGTGCAAAAACATCATTCAAATGCATTCGAGTACAGTCAAAATAGATATTTTCGTTTGACATATGACACCCGCAATTTTTCTCAATTACAATATTTCTTTTACTTCAAATAAGAAAATAAAAATATGAACTGATGTTTTAACTAATAATAAAACTACTTACATCCAACACCTCCAACAAGCAAAACTTCATTAGATCCACAATGAGCCATGGCCCGTTCTAAATATAATATAGAATCATAGTGATACATATCATATAAAGTATTTTTGATATTAATATAGCAATAACAGTTTTCATGAACAAAAAATCTGGCAGCTGTATATTTTCTAATGCCAACAAAACATGAATATGAAACAATCTATTAATAAAGAATACTTTTTTAAAGCTAAATGTTAAAAATAATTTCAAAACCAAAATTTTAACCAATTTTGATAATTTTCACTATCAGTAATATTTTACAATAATTTTTCAGAAAATATTATATTTAGTTATCATTTGCTTTATTCTAAAAACCATGAACTAAATTTTAGATTAATTACTATACTGATATAAAGCCACTTTCTTTGAACATTTAAATCCATTTAAATTATTTTACTTTAATGATGTGTGTTTGATCCAAACTGAAAAAATGCTAAAATGAAAGCTTAAAGCTAAAAGTATTTTTTACTTGAACATCTGATATTTAACTATTTTCTGCATTACAAAATCAAAAGAATCTAGAAATGCAATATATATATATATATATGAAATAATAAGTGCACAAGGAAAAGCCGGAGCAGTGTCGATGCTTGCTTAGATCCATATTGAAGAAGAATTTTGAATGCGCAGCATGCTAATAATGTTAACTTTCAAATATCTAAAGAATTTGGCAATCGAGGCGATTTTAATTCCATTTTTATTTCCAAATAATATTATGTGGTCATGGATCCCTTGGCACCCTAATCATCCTGTTCAAGAACATTATTGATATTATTGCAATAGAAAGCAGTGTAGCAAAATTGCATCCAAGCACAGCACAGACAGAAGCCAAAGTGTATAGTTATGAAAAATGGAAGCACGTGAAAAGTTTCAGTTTACAATAGTAATTTCAGTTCCTAATTATTACGTCATCAGAGCTGCACAGGCCATAGAATGATCTAGAAATGACGCAATCCAGAGAAGTTATTGCGATTTTTAGAATAGAGAGGGAGAATTAATGTTTTACCATTTGTTTAAATTATAATTTTGATTCATATATTTTTTATTTTACATATATATTTACCACTAGAATGTACAACGTATCACAACTGTACAATTTGAAAGAATGCCATACCAAAAACTGTGATACACTTCTGCAGAATGCAGTTTTAAAATCAGAGGTATAAAGATTCGATCTTATTAATACTTTTCTCCCTCAGTATAATACCTTAAAAACAATACTAAAATAAAATTTATTATACATTTCTTTAATTCCCAACCACCAAAATAAAAATTAATACGGTTAATTTATATACGGTCAAAAGTCGTCAATCCGGACTTTGGCGATTCCGAATTATCGATTTTTCCGGATTTTAGATCATCAGTTTAAATCTCGTAAGATGGCATGCAGAAATTCTAAAATTAAAAATATGAAGCCGTAATTTATGAAATAAAGAGCAATTAAGATCTAAAGGGTATCACAATTTACAAAAAAAAAAAAAAAAAAAAAAAAAAACTTAATATTTATTAGTTTACTTTATTAAACATTTCTTTCAATGCAAGTTGTTTAAGTTGCTTCGTTTTATGTGATAATACTTTCTCTTTAATTCTATAAACAGACATAATTTCTTGTTCAGTTACAAAGTTCCGCTGTTCAAGTCCCGTTAATTGCTGTGCCGAGAATACCGACTAACTTGTCAATCGAAATTTTTTCGTTTTCACTAACCTCTCTGTCACCTTCTTCATGTCTTTATCCATTTTTTGCAGCAATTCCACTTTTTGTTTGATGGACATCGAAATATACTTTCGTTTTGTAGATCCTTTGAGAGCTCCAGCATCGGAAATTCTATTTGACATAATCGAAAGTTCAAGTTTACTTTTATCAAATTGCTCTTACAGTCTGCAAAAAATAATAAGCCAGATACAATTCGAAGATTAAGACATTAAGATCGATCGCATTTGCGCACACACATATGCGCAGTCGTAAAGGTCTTACGCACACGCGTAACATGCGCAGTGTCAAATGCGCAGGTTCCGGATTATAGATCATTATGGAAATTATTACTGTTTTGACTGTAAAAAAAAAAAAATAATAAAAAATAAACCTTTCATAAAAAAAAAAAAAAAAAAAAAAATATCAGGAGGCAAAATCCTAGCCTAATTCTTCAGTTTAACTAACCCATAATAAAGAAATAAAATTCTGATATATTTCTATGAAAGCTGAGAATTTTTAGCAAACTTTCTGCTACTGAAGTTTACGGGTCAGCACATATACAAGTTCAAAATGATCTATCAATAATTTCATGATATAAATGTATGGCCGACTAAACTGTTAATAACTGAAATCAATTGGAAAAAGTATTATGAATATTTCTGGCTTTCTAATTTTCAAATGGATGAGGCTTTCACTTATCTGATAGGTCTACCTAAATAAGATGTTCAATTATTTGAACTTTTGACAACATATAGCTGGATTTAAGGCAATTTAAAATTTGATTCATGTATGGATGTGGAATTTCAACTGAATTTTTACAGAAAAATCTTTCAGCTTATAGAGAGAATGGCTGTAGTGTTGGTTTGACAATTTATTACAGCCTTACCTGTTGTTTCAACTAACATTGCAAAGACTGTTTCTTGTAATGAAAAGCACAAATCTTCTTTTGTATATCCTCCTTCTGTTAGCAGTGTATCAACACGCTCCTGAAAAATATGAATAAAGAATTTTTAAACTTCTATTTTAAATTTGGATGTATACAAAACTACAAATGATGTTGCAAGTTGGATTATTGTTTTCAAAATTATTTAAATATTGGCTTTATACACAGTATGTACATTTAAAGTGACAATTAATGTAAACATTTTTTATTCCTCCTTGTTATTTTTTCATTGGCATATTTCAATTAACAATATGAGCATTGTATTACTTAAGAAAAACATGCTTAGATGGCATAAAGTGTATGTGGACTTTTTGGCACATAACTTGGAAGGGTATAAATGTGCAAAACATATGGTCAATTAATTCTATGCTGTATAATGGAATAAAATTATAAAAACAAAATAATATAATAATGACAATTTATAAAGCTTATGATAAAAAAATGAACCAGAAAAAATTATATACCAACAAAGTCAATAGTATACTAATGAGTAGTCAACATTGTAATGAAATGCATTATCTACAAGATAATTTCAAATATCAAACCAGGTAAAATCACAGTATATGAACACATTAAGTAAAGCCATTTTAGATTAATAAAAATTAGTCTCTCTTAAACACTGAAATAAGTTAAAACCAATGTCTTTTTCAACCAAAGCACCGTTAATGATTCAAGAATTATTAAAATATTTCACACAGTTTGTAAAATACCATATTTACTCATGTATTTTATCCCCTGGCAAGACTGAAAATTTTTTAAATATTGATGCAATTTCCCCTTCTGCAAGGCATTCATAAAGTGAACTTCCCTAAATTTTAAAATGGATTTGGCCATGTAATGGTTGTTTTCATCTTACTAATCAATTTGCTCATGGATTTTGGGTGCATGGGTTCTGACTGATGAAGCAATTATAGCAGAGTTTTAAGAAAATATAAGTACATAATGCTCTTGGTTCTGAAAATCATCACATGAGGGTAAGACAGATTGAATGTAGATCAAGATGACAATGACAACAATAATGGTGAAAATGACTTTTAAGCTGTAGCAGACATCATAGATGACAGTTCCAGCAACACTGAATGATTTGAGACTTAGAGAGTAGGAGTGATGACAAAATAAGTAGGCAAGATTCAAGATACAGGAAAGCAGAAGTGAAGATTTTATTAGATACTGTAATGTTAATATTATCATGTATTTCATTGAAATAGGTTTCTTTTAAATAAATAATGTTGTAATAATTAGTAGTTATCCATAAATACTTTTCATTTGCTATGTTCTTATTGTTACTGTATCCTTCAGAAATTAAATTACTGGCATAATTTTCCTCTCTTGATTTCATATAACAAAATTAATAAAAAAGAGGAAAAGGGGAATGTGTGAGTAAATACATTATAGGCAGTTCACCAAAATATAATGCGTCAATAACAGGATTATAACTTGATCAAATAAGACCACTTTCAGCTTTTATAAGATAGTTATGAAAGACTGGAAAGTGGCTCATTCAAAGATTAGTTAAGAAGATTCCCTATCACCAGTTTCTAATAGCCTCTCAATATTCCACTCTAGATTTTATGCTTTTTAGATTGTTATGATGATGATTACCCCAGAGTTACTATCATTTATTTGATGATCATGTGGATCTCTCAAAGGGACAAGCAAACTAGACAATTAAAGAACAGACTTCGCCGTGATGTCTGATGATGATGCCTGAGAATCTAATGGTAAAGAATCTGATGTCCACAGTTCTAACATTTGAACTTAGCTTTAAAACTTGAACAGCTACTAGATTCTTGCTGTTAGAAAATATTTCTAAAGCTTACTTTCTCCAGCATAGCTTAAAAATAAATGAAATTACATAATACACATCAATTAATTTAAAGGACAGTAATAAACACCATGCAAATATTTGCTCTTCATATCACTGCCAATCAAAAAAGATCTTCCACCATGATCAATTTTCATATATGAGAATATAAATGCTATATTTATGCCTCTGCTTGTCATTTGTGCACAATTTTGTTGATATTTCTTGCTCACAAAAAACATCAAAAGGCTGGATTTGTGCATATTGCCAAAGTGGGATCTCAAAATACTTTATGGTTTGGGTATACACATCATACACACAGTATTCTTGAATCAGTGATGAACCTTTAAAGAGACAGAAGGAAAACAAGATGGCTGTATTTCAAACAAAAGATCATGCATGTCATTAAGCATACCGACTTTATAAAGATAATCAGGTTGTGATAATATATTGAAATGATGAAGAAACAGCCACCTTATGTCTTAATTTAAATGATGGTTTGGAAGGTTCCATAATAAATCCACAAGTCTTACTGATAAACAGGATCTAATTTTAATAAAACTGGATAACTTTCCAATCCATAAATATAGAGTCATAAAGTGGATGAACCCTGTAAATGCAACACAATGACTATGCTCCAGGAGGTGTTTACCAGAACTTTAGCTCAGAACAGAGATTTCACTTTTCACAAAAGTGCATGTATGCTTGTCTTCTATTTTGAAAACATAAATCCATATTCGTTTGCCCATTTCTGAATATATTTAAGAGCAATCTGTAGTTGTTTCTCCACATATCTCATGCCAGCACCTAGACAACTTATCTGGAGGTTATCAATGTATAATAATTTGAAAATGGTAGGGTGGTTCCTTTAAACAGAATTTATTAAGTTGAAAAGAGTAACACTTAGCACACAACCTTGAGGCACATCCCCTTCCTTTCTTAAGTACAGTACAGAATTAATCATTGTTTGTCTGGGTCAGTGGTTGTGCCTTAAAAAATTATGAAAGCTGGCAGATTTTGGGGCAATCCATTAGCATGAAAATCACACAAGATAAGCATTTTCTATATAAAAAAAGGCATAAAGTTTATTTTTTCAAATTTTTGTTTATTGATTGTGTCATGTATCTGGCTGCGGTGAGCCAATCAGCTGCCTTGCAGAGCCCAGCAAGTGAGAGAGATGACAGTTGCAGGTTAGCCTCAGAGGAGGAAGGTGGTAGGAGCGAGGTACTGCTCCGAGTTAACTATTATTCTTTGAACGTTAATTTTTAATAAATGTTTGTTTAATTTTTTTAATGGTGCCTTATTCATCCGTGAAGCCATTACAGCACGCTCTCTTTCGAGAACCAGAGCGAACAAAGGTAACTGGATTTTGAGAAAAGGTGAGAAATTTTTGTTGTAATTTTAAGGAAATTTTCTTCTAAATATGTTTAAGGGAGTAGTTAAAAGTGATTTTATTTCGATGTTGAAGGAACTTGGTGAAGAAGCCAATTCTAGTTTAAAAGTCATAGAATTTAAAGATAAGCTTTTAAGTTCTAAAGAATATTTGAAAGATAAAAATTTTGTTGTTGAATTCCTAAATACTACGGTTGAAGAAAGGAAAAAGTCAGAAGAAATTGTGAAACTGCGTTTGATGCAAATCAAAAGTAGCAACGAATCTAGTAACAACGTAGAAAATACACTTTCATTAGACAAGCTTTTGAAAGCTGTACAGGCATTATCAATTTCTGTACCTAAAATGGGTGCAGCATGGAACTTATTTTTTGATTCAGTAGAAAGGTCTTTTAAGCATAAGAACGTACCAAATGAGTTTAAGTCTGAAATTTTACTTAAACTGATAGGTGATAAATCTTCTAATATTCTAGTATATATTAAAGATGATGATTTGAAAGATTATGAAAAAATTAAATCTTTAATCCTTAAGGAATATGAACCATTGCCAACTATATGTTTAAAAAATTCTGCCAAGCTCAAAGGTTTACGGGGGAAACTCATTTGCAGTTCGCCTCTCGTTTAAGATCATGTTGGATCCATTATTGTAAAAGTAGAAACGTCAATGATTTTGAGTCTTTAATTAATAATTTCTGACAAACCTTTTCAAACGTTGGATAGTGATTTAGCATGCCATGTTGCAGTTCGACAAGGTGAAAGTTGGCTACGTCCAGAAGAACTAAGGAAGGAATGCAATACTTATTTCATCGCAAAAGGTAAATCTTTTGATGACATAAGAGGTGAAAAATGCATTAATTTTCGTGATTCATGCAACAAAAACTCTAAATATATTCCACCAGCGCTAAGAAAAGATTCAGTGGTAAATGAACAGAAACATTCGTTTAAACCGCGAGAATGTTACGTGTGTAGTAGCAGTTTACATTTGGCTAAGAATTGCCCGAACAGGCAAAATAAATTTGAGAAGTCCAATAAACAGAACGATAATTTTCCGGTCAAACCGAAAGTTAACACTTCAAGTAAACCGAAGGACAATGCGGTTGTTACAAATGTAAATTCTAAACATTTACAAAAACGCGAGTGTTCCGATGGAAAACTTAAATTTTATTCCTTGGAAAAGATTACTATTTAATTTGCAGGGAAGCAATAAAAGATTCAGGTACGGAAATACCAATTTTGTACACTACATTAATTCCTGATTTAAAAATAGAAAGTAAGGGTAAAATCATTTTGAGTTCTGCATTTGGCAACGTCATAGAGGCAACGTTAGCAACTATTCCCATTTATTACAAAAAAACCAAATAGTTGTCTATATTCACGCATAGAAGCTCTTTTTGCGTTGACAGATAAGCTCAATGTTTAATTACACCATATGTATGCATATTTGAAGTTGAACTGTCAGGTGTAAATCTTTTTTATAGCTCAGTTGAGAATCAGGATGATGAAAGACTAAACAGTTGTTTGGAATCGAATAAATTTAAAGTTGATCAGAGAAACTGTCAAACATTAATAAATTCTTTTAAGGATACAGAATTAGGGAAGAATAATTTCTTTTTACAGGACTAATTATTGTTTCATAAAGAAAAAAATATGTGGGGAAAACATACAACAGTTAGTTTTGCCCGAGAATTATCGAAATAAAGTCCTTCAAATTAGCTCATGATTCCATACTCGGAAATCATTTAGGTATGAGGAAAATTAAAGAAAGAATTAAGCTTTCATTTTATTGGCCGAACATATCCAAAGATGTAGAAAATTATTGTAGAACATGCGAAAGATGTCAATTAAAAAGT